TAAACTCAACAGCAAAGAAACAAACAATCCAATCATGAAATGGGCAAAAGACATGAACAGAAATCTCACAGAGGAAGACATAGACATGGCCAACAAGCACATGAGAACATGCTCCGCATCATTGACCATCAGGGAAATACAAATCAAAAACACCATGAGATACCACCTCACACCAGTGAGAATGGGGAACATTAACAGGACAGGAAACAACAACTGTTGGAGAGGATGTGGAGAAAGGGGAACCCTCCTGCACTGTTGGTGGGAATGGGAACTGGTGCAGCCACTCTGAAAACTGTGTGGAGGTTCCTCAAAGAGTTAAAAATAGACCTGCCCTACGAACCAGCAATTGCATTGTTGGGGATTTACCCCAAAGATACAGATGCAGTGAAACGCCGGGACACCTGCACCCCAATGTTTATAGCAGCAGTGTCCACAATAGCCAGACTGTGGAAGGAGCCTCGGTGTCCATCGAAAGATGAATGTATGAAGAAGCTGTGGTCTATGGATACAATGGAATATTCCTCAGCCATGAGAAACGACAAATACCCACCATTTGCTTCAATGTGGATGGAACTGGAGGGTATTATGCTGAGTGAAGTAAGTCAATCAGAGAAGGACAAACATTATATGGTCTCATTCATTTGGGGAATATAAATAATAGTGAAAGGGAATAAAGGGGAAAGGAGAAAAAATATGTGGGAAATATCAGAAAGGGAGACAGAACATGAAAGACTCCTAACTCTGGGAAACGAACTAGGGGTGGTGGAAGGGGAGGTGGGCAGGGGTTGGGGTGACTGGGTGGTGGGCACTGAGGTGGGTACTTGACGGGATGAGCGCTGGGTGTTGTTCTGTATGTTGACAAATTGAACACCAATAAAAAATAAATTTGTTAAAAAAAAAGAAGCTGTGGTATATGTATACAATGGAATATTCCTCAGGCATTAGAAATGACAAATACCCACCATTTGCTTCTGCGTGGATGCAACTGGAAGATATTATGCTAAGTAAATAAGTCAATCAGAGAAGAACAAACATTATATGGTCTTATTCATTTGGGGAATATAAAAAATAGTGAAAGGGAATAAAGGGGAAAGACGAGAAAGTGAGTGAAAATATCAGTGAGGGAGACAGAACAGGAGAGACTCTTAACTCTGGGAAATGAACAAGGGGTGATGAAAGGAGAGGTGGGCGGTGGGTTGGGGTGACTGGGTGACAGGCACTGAGGGGGGCACTTGACGGGATGAGCACTGGGTGTTATGATATATGTTGGCAAATTGAACTCCAATAAAAAATTTTTAATTAAAAAAATTTTTAAAAAGATTCTCTCTCCCTCTACCCCTTCCCCCCTCCTTGCATGTGGGCTCTCTCTCAAAAAAAAAATTTTAAAAGATGTGCATGAATTTATAATACCATGGGAAGTGCTTATGTTACCATGTTAAATGAAAAAAAAATAAGGACACAATGTTGTCTATTTTGTATGATCCCCATGATGTAAAATATACAACTATATGGAGACAAAAGGAAACACCCTCTGCCTTAATCGTGATTAAACCAGGATGATGGCATTAGGAATGATTCCAATGCACATATTTTTCCTGAGGGTAGTGGCATACATGGGAGACCCTCAGAATTAGCAGAATGTGGGGGTCTTTAAAGCATAGGTTTTCAGCCAGGGACTCTTACCTGGGTACCATGGATTGAAGCCAGGGCGGCTATAAACTTGGCTGGGAAAAACATTACATCTTTATTTTCACTAACCTCTAACGGAAAATTTTTTTCTTCCAGATTTTTTTTTTGTGGTAAAATGTACATAACAAAATTTACCACTTTAACTATTTTCAAGTATGTGGTTCAGTTTACACTGGTGGGCACGAGTCACCACCAGCCATCTCCAGACTGAAATTTAATACTTTAATCATGAATGCAAAGAACCACAGTAAATGACCAGGACCTGTGACTCTGTCACCACTAGAAATCAAAGCTGTTTTCATCTCACATGACAGCTGTTGCAGGCATACTGAACTACTTTTTAAAGACTTATGTAGTTATTTGGGGGGACGGGCAGAGGCAGAGGGAGAGAGAGAATCTCAAGCAGGCTCCACGCCTAGCACAGAGTCCGACGCGGGACCCGATCTCGGGACCCTGAGATCACAACCTGAGCTGAAACCAAGAGCCAGACGCTTAACAGACTGTGCCACTCAGACACCCTGGTATACTGAACTGTATTGTTCATGCTCCTCGCAGCTTTGAAATCAGGTAGTTATGTGACCTGCCACCAAATCTTGTTATTTAATGCAAAATTACTAGATTACAAATTCCTTTTGTAATATTGTGCTAGCCGTATTTCAATATGTTTTCTTTTGTAATCCTATGTATTTTATTTCATGCCATTTAAAAAATATTATCCTGGGGCGCCTGGGTGGCTCAGTCGGGGAAGCATCTGCCTTCGGCTCAGGTCATGATCTCAGGGTCCTGGGATTGAGCCCCACATCAGGCTCCCTGCTCAGTGGGGAGTCTGCATCTCCCTCTCCCTCTGCTGCTCCCCTTCCTGTTTGTGCGCGCTCTCTGTCAAATAAATAAACACATTTTTTAAAAAGATAAAAAACATTCTGAGAGGAAACATGTATGTTTCATCAGACCACCAACGGGGTTCACACACACACACACACACACAAAAATTAAGAAACCCTGAGCAGATGTGTCTTGACAGATGGAGTAATTAAAGTATTAGCTACCTTCAACACACAATAACAATGATGGGTTTACTAATGGGTGTCCAAATTCTTTATAATTGTTCTGTTGATGTGGCCTAGTAGAATATGATTCCACATCCATCTGCATCTCCCCAACATCCACTGCAGATTTAGCCCTTTAGAATAATCCTGTTTGCATGTATCCCTTTGGAAAACAATGTCCGACGTGCCCCAAAAGACATTCAAAGGTGAAAAGGAAGCTAATGGCAGAAAGAGTATGAGAATAAATGAGCAGATTTTAAGAAGAGAAACAAACTGACCTCATTAAAAAAAAAAAGAATCCATTTCCCTAATATACTCCTTCCTTTATTCAAAAATATTTGGGGGGCGGGGCGCGAGGGAAGATGCTCAACACCACTCATTATCAGGGAAATGCAAATCCAAACCACAGTAAGAGATCACCTCACACCTGCCAGAATGGCTAGGATCAAAAAGACAAAAAATAACAAGTATAGGGAAGGGTGTAGAGAAAAGGGAACCCTTGTACACTGTTGGTAGGAATGTAAATTGGTGCAGCCGCTATGGAAAACAGTAGGAGGTTCCTCGAAAAATTAAAAATAGGACTACCATGTGATCCAGCGATCGATCCCGCTTCTGGGTGTTGACACAGAGAAAATGAAAACACTAACGTGGGATGTCCGCCCCCCGTTCACTGCAGCATTATTCACAACAGCCAAGACATAGAAACAACCTAAGTGCCCATTGAATGGATAAAGAAAATATCATAGGTGTGTGTGCGTAGACACATGTGTGCAGGCACGTACACACACAATGAGATGTTATTCAGCCATAAAAAAGTGAAATCTTATCATGTGCAGCAACATGGGTAGACTTTGAGGGCATTCTGCTAAGCGAAGTAAGTCAGAGAGAGAAAGACAAATACCATATGGTCTCACTTACATGTGGAATCAAAAAATAAATAAATGAACCCAGCTCACAGACACAGGGAACACAGCTCAGTGGTTGCCGCCAGAGGTGAGGGGTGGGGGGTGGGTGAAATAGGTCAAGGTGGTCAGTCCAAAAGTACAAACTTCCAGTGATGAGATAAATAAGTTATAAGACAAGGAAGTCCTCGGGATGTCATGTACAGCATGGTGACCATAACTAAGGTCATTGTATTGCATATTTGAAAGTTGCTAAGACAGTAAATCTCAAGAGTTTTCATCACGAGAAAAAATATTATAACTGGGGGTCCCCGGGTGGCTCGGCGGTTTTGTGACTGCCTTCGGCCCAGGGCCTGATCCTGGAGACCAGGGATCGAGTCCCACGTCGGGCTCTTTGCAGGGAGCCTGCTTCACCCTCTGCCTGTGTCTCTGCTTCTCTCTCTCTCTGTGTGTCTCTCATGAAAAAATAAATAAATAAAATATTTTTCCAAAGGAAAAATGTTATAACTATGTATGGTGACCGATGCTAACTAGACTTATCATGGTGACTGTTCTGCAATATATACAAATGGCAAATCAGTATGCTGTCCACCTGAAACTAACACAATGTCGCATGTCAGTTATGCTCCAATAAAAAAAAAATCTTTTTGGAATCTGGTCTGGTGATGGACGCCGCGTTCCCTGGGCTAACCCCACCCTTGGCTACCTTTCTGTGCGAATAAGATTCTCTTTTCTGCAAGTCCCACGTCCTCTGTCATTTTCAAATAAAACTGCTCTGTCATGCTGAAAGAAGTCTACCCACCTAACCTAAAACCACCTCCTATGAGAGAAGCCCTCACGCGCCCCCGTCACCACAGGAGGTCCACAGAGTCCCAACTGTCAGTGGTTTTTCCATGAACCCAAATCCCTGGAAAGGCTGATTGGCCAAGGGAGGGGGGTGCGGTGGAGACGTGACCCAAACCGAGCCAACCAGATGCCCTCCCCCGGGAATCTGGAAGTGAGACCTAAAGTTACTGCCCGGTGTGTTGAACTGCGGGTGAGCAAACTCGGGGCTGGGTTTTGGCGACGTGCATGCTGAGGCTGGTAGAGGGACCCAGCACGGGACAAGGGAATGCAGAGGGGGGCGGAGGCGCTTCAGCTGCACCTTGTGTGCAGGCAGGACCCCATACCCATGTTAGAGAAACCCCCTCCGGCCTGGGGCCAGTCCAGCGGGGACCCTAACTGCTAAGTTGAGAGTGGGCCCCGATGGGACCTCCACGAGGCAGCTCCTGATGGTCCCGGGCCCCCTCTCCCCAAGTTAACTCTCGGTGGCCTGCCAGGACCTTCTGCAGGAAAGCACGAAGCAGCCCCCCAACCTGCATACCTCGGGTCTGCCGATGCTCCTGCGGACCCTGGCTCCAACCCCCTCGGCCTGCTCCCGGCTCAGCACGGACAGGGTAACCTTCTTGGAGGGTGCCATGTCCACGTCTGGAAAGTACTCCACTGCCAAGCTGCAGACGGTAGAGGGCCAGTGGAGGACAACAAGAAGGAAAAATCAGGAGGGCACATCCAAGGGCTTCCAAATAAAGGCTATTAAACTCAGGCCTGTCCAAAATATTAACAGCTGCCATCTATTGACTGCTTAGTCTGTGCGAGACCCGGGTTAGGAAATCGAGAACAATAACGTTAGTGAGCACGCATGAGCACTAATGTATTAGTGCCACTAATTGTTTGCAATCTCACGCAATCCCACAGCCATCTTTTACATGGTTTGGCAACAGCCTCTCTCCTGGGCACTTACTAACCTCTAAGGAGCATTTTATCTGCTTTCTTTTTTTTTTTTTAAGTAGGCTCCACGCCCAAGGTGGGGCTCGAGCTCCTGACCTCAAGGTCAAGAGTCGCATGTTCCACTGACTGGGCCAGGCAGGCGCCCGTTTATCTGCTTTATCTCATTGAAATTTCTCAAGCTCCCCAACCTTGCATTACCCCCACGAGGGAGGTGCTACCACGAGGCTGAGAGTGATTTATGGGGTGTTGACTAAGGGAACACAAAGAAAATCCGTGAGGTCTGTGAATCTCCCTAGAACACGTGGAATGGGGCGCCTGGGTGGCTCAGGGGTTGAGCATGTGCCTTCAGCTCAGGGTGTGATCCCGGGGTCCCGGGATTGAGTCCTGCATCGGGCCCTCCACAGGAAGCCTGCTTCTCCCTCTGCCTGTGTCTCTGCCTCTCTCTGTGTGTCTCTCATGAATGAATGAATGAATGAATAAATGAATAAATAAATAAATAAATAAATAAATAAATCTTTTTAAAAAATCGTGTCAAAGATCTTGGCACTGAAAGTAATTTCGAGGGTCACCAAATTCAAAGATCCGTGTGCCCCTAAAGTTCAGGGCCAACTTAAGCAGCAAGAATGCCCTGAGCTTTGTCAGGAAGTCTTCAAGAGCAGGAAAGTCACGGAGGAGATGCCCTTGACAACGCATCCTGTATTTGAGGCCCAGTCTATACTCCGCTTTTATTGCAAAAGACTTTTCTCTTTTGGGGGGGCCTGAGTTCTACCGAATGGAGTATCACAGACCCAACATAATCAATCAGTTTCCCACTTCGAATGCTTGCAGACAGTGCCACCAAATCGCTAAGACTCTTCTTCAAGCGAAAGGCAATCCATTCCTTTCGAGAGTCCTACTCACGCCAAGAGGGGTGCTTTAGGGAGAAGCGCAGACTCCAGAGCCTGAGAGCCTGGGGTGCACCCCGGCTTCACAGGTGCCAGCTGTGCGGCCTCAGGCCTCTTGCTAAGCCTCTCTGATCCTCAGTTTTTCCCATCTGTCAGATAGAGGTAATAAGACTGCCTACCTCCAAGGGGTGTCGTCAGCGCTCCGAGCGTCAGCTGCTGTTCCTCCGAGCGCTGTACTTGGCAACGCCCGCCCGCCACCTGCCCGCCACCCCCCGCCACTGAATACGTGCCCCCCCAACCCCCGGGCCAGGCGATCAATAAATACTTCTAGGGTGCCGGTCAGTGGGGCTCAGGAAAGCGTTTAATCCTCAGAGCGGGACAGAACCGTCACCACCTGCCTCCAAGCGACTAGTAAGGGCTTCACCCCTACCTGCGCTCCTTCTGGGTCCTTCCACGCTCCCGCCCGCGAATTCCACGCGCGCCAACACCCGGCGAGGTGCTCACCCGAGCGCAGGGCTTTCAGACCGGAAAGCCGCCTTCCCCTTGGCCAAATGTCAGAGCCCTATTTAAGCATCTCCCGTCCCCTCCTGGGAGCCTCCCCGGGAGTCGGCGGCGGGCTGGGAAGGCGGGTCGCGCGCGCTGCTCCCGGGGGCCCGGCGGCGGGGGCGGGGGCGGCGCGGGGCGCGGGGCGGGGAGGGCGCCGGGCCCGCCGCCTCACCGTGACTCAGCGTTTCGCCGCCCGCGGCCGCAGCGGGCAGGAGGCGGGAGTCCGCGGGTGGGGGGGGTCTGCGGGTGCCGCTCCCTTATTTCCTGGCCGCCCGGCGCCCGCTGCCCCGCCCCTGCCTGCTCGGGGCCCCTTCCGTCCCCCGGGAGAGGCGCGACCCCCGGCGTCGGGGTCGGGGTCGGGGGTGCTCGCTGGGCCCGGCAGCTGCCGGATCGGGCGCCGTTGGTTCCCGCGGGGCCTCTGTCACTTGTTCGCTGCGCGACCTGGGGCCGGTGGCTCAGCCTCTCTGTGCCTCCCGTTCTTCCGCCGTCAAACGGGGATGGGGATGCTAGACCAGCCTGCTAGGGTTGTGGGGAGAACCGACCGAGCTCGGCGTGCCCTCTGCACCCCTCCAGCGTGTTGCAAAAAGAAGGCTGCTGTTCGGTACTTAAAGCAAAGGAGTAGGGAGAGTGAGGTGTGCGGGGCGGTAGGAGGGCCAAGACTCTTTTGCACCTGCCTAAAAAAGAGACACAGTCAGGACACCGGGGTGGCTCAGTAGTTGAGCACCTGCCTTTGGCTCAGGGTGTGATCCCGGAGTCCTAGTATCGAGTCCCGCATCGGGGTCCTCGCAGGGAGCCTGCATCTTCCCGGGCCTACGTTTCTGCCTCTCTCTCTGCGTCTCCCATGAATGGAGAAATAAAATCTTTAATAAAAAAAAAGAGAGACAGACAGACAGACAGACAGACAGACATACACACACAGCCTAGTGGGGACAGAGTTGGTGAGGAGCTCGGTCGTCGTGGAGCGCAGCGGGCAGGCGTGCGATCGTCCTCCCAGGGCAGTGGGGAGTGGCAGGAGCCTGTGAGCGGCCCGGTTCGCCGCGGAGATTCCTCACCAGGGTTACATGCACAGCTGCAGGTGTCTCACAGAAAGCTCATTGTGTGACCCAGAAAGGAAAGAAAGTGGCACTTCTAAAACAGGGACCAGAAAACTTTGTAAAAGGCCAAAAGGTAAATAAAGGCTTTCCACTTCGCAGGCCACCTCCAAGCTCTGGGAGGACTGCTCCATCTCGCCTCTGGAGCAAGGAACCGGGGATGGCATGCAAATAAACGGGTGTGGCTGTTTCAATAAAACCTTAATTAGGGTTACTGTTGGGGAGGAAGGACTTCCTCTGCCCCTCCTTTAGCTGAATGAAGAACGACATTGACTGGAGACAGATGACCGAGTGGAAATGAAATGTAATTTCATTTCGTAAGGGCGGAGAATCCACACAGCCTGAAATTCCGAAGGCACGGAAGCACCAGGAGGCTTATCTGGCCTCCTGAGCTCAGGTGAGGGGCAGGGGTGCGGGAAACAAAGGGAAGCAAGAGCAGTTGCAGGAAGGTGAGAGGACAAGCTTAGAAGACAAAGGTGGCCTTGGGATGCACTTAAGTTTCTTAAGTAAAGAGGAATGTCTGTTGTAGCTCTCTTTTGGGTCCAGGCTCTCCTTCTTTCCCATGTAAATAGAGGCAGTTGACGGGGAGGTAAAGAACTTTTCCTGAACCTCCTGGGTTTTGATCTCTTTTAACTCAAAATAATCTTCAGGCCAAACTGGCCTGCGGAGTGGGGGGGCGCCTAGGTGGCTCAGTACTCTTAAGCGTCTGCCTTGGGTTCAGGTCATGATCTCAGGGTCCTGGGATCGAGCCTGCTTCTCTCTCTCCCAAATAAATAAATGAAGTCTTTTTTTAAAAACTGGCCCATCTTGAGGTGACCTGCCCTTGCCTCTACAATACTGAAATTTGAATTTCATATAATTTTCACTTGTCATGAAATATTATTCTTTTGCTTTTTTTTTTCAATCACTTAAAAATGTAAAAACTGCTCTCAGCTCAAGGACTATAAAAACTAGATAGTGGGCCAGACTTGCCTGCAGGCCTAGTTTGCAGACCCCTGCTCTAAAAGCACAGGGTAGTAAGGGAACGGGGGACTTTGCCCCGGATTCTTTATGTGTGAGCAGGATTCAAATCCTTCCTCTCTACCTGATTCAAGGCTAATTGAGATAATGCACATGAATATTAAGTCCCATGACATAATGAAGTATTGTCACTTAGCATCTGAAGCCGTCTCCCAATTATATATATAAAAAGAAGAAGAAAGAAGACGAAGAAGAAGAAGAAGAAGAAGAAGAAGAAGAAGAAGAAGAAGAAGAGAAGCACTAATCTCTCTTTCTGTGACAATAAATTTGCCTTTCCTGGAAAAAAAAAAAAAGAAATATGGGCTCTCCGTCTGGCTCTTTGCAGTCTTTAGTAAATGCTACTGCATTTGCTACCAAAAATGTCAAAATTTAGCCAATTGCCTGGGCCTGAAACTCAAGCTATCCCATCACTCTTCCACCTTACAATCCTGTGGATTCCACTCCTAATATCTCTTAAATATGATTGCCATGTGTCATCGCATCTGAGAGCCACTCTACTCTTCCAGCCTTCAGGCTTGCCTCTGGCCAATCCACTGTCCAATTCCCAGGAAAATGGAATAACTGCCTAAAACCTTCAGGGCCCTCAAGAGAGTCCTGCGATGTCTTTAATCCGGCCTCACTTTCAACATGCTGACACTTGCTCAAGGACACACACACACACACACACACACACACAGACAGAAGCACTGCACTCCCTCTTTCCACCTAGCTGACTTCTTTTAGGCTCCCAAATGTGCATTGCCCCACTTGTTAGCTTGCTGTGCCTCTGTCTGCAACTCTCTCTCTCCTTGATCTGGCGTATATGCATTCATCTCTCAGCTCGCTTTCCATGTCACTCCCGCTGGGAAACCTTCCTTCCTCTCAAGTCTGGGTGAGATGTTTGACATGGCAATTATTATGAGGCAGGAAAACAGAAGGGGCCCTGTGGAGGAGGGGGGGGAACCCTGCCTTTTTGCTCCTTTTCCTGCTTCTGGTCTGGCTAGGACCCGCACCCAGGCCTTACAGGTGCCTTAATGTACATCGTCCTTGTAAAGGTCAGGAGTTAACGATTTCTCTGGAGTCTTCCAGCACAATCGATAACATCTGAGGGGTGACCCGGCAGGTTGTCAGGAACGGTTTGCAAGACCACTGACTCCAGAACCTTGATGAGGACACCAGAGCCCTCGTCCTTGTTTGACCAGTTCCTGGATGCCTGAGAGGACTTGTACCCCAGACCATCATCTTCAATAAAACCCCAGACCCCCGAGCAAAGACGACACTCACTCTCCTTGCTTCCGAGTCTCTGAGCCACGTGCACTCTCTCTTCGTTTCCAATAAACTCTGTTCTCACTTCCTCTGGGCTCAGTGTTTGATTTCTATCCTACACGCGGCCTGGGACCACCCCCACCCCCGCCGGGGCCCTGGACCCAGGCCAGCCTGCAGCAATCACAACCACACGTTGTCGATCAGACCCATTGTTTGCCATCTTTTGGAAGATTCGGTTTTCCTCTGATCATGATACTTCCAACAGTATGTCCCGTTAGACATGTCTTCTGCAATGCGACTTTGATACTCCCTCCATCCCAAGTGGCGTTTCCTTCTCTTCCTCCTGAGTCTAGGCAGGGCTTGTGGTTGCTCTGACCAATACCATACAGTGCAAGTGACACTGTGCCAGTTCTGGACGTGGCTCTGAGATGGCCCGATGGCTTCTGCTTGCTGCTTCCTGGGAGCAGCTGCCATGTGAGAAGAGCAATGGCTCTGAAACCACCTTTCTGGGAGACGCCCATGCCAGGCGAATAAGACATGAACACCCAACTGCATCCTTCCCAACTTCCAGGCCCACAGAACTATGAGCAAAGAAAAAGCGGTTGCTTTAGGCCGCTCCGCTTCTGGGTCATTTGTCTCGTGATACTAGACAAATGGAAAATATACTTTCATGCAAGAGGAGAGGAGGTGGGTTTTTAGAGCTCTCTGGACTAAGAAAAAAACACTCTTATGAAGATTTACTCTTTTAGAACGTGGCTGTGTCCATTTAGATGTTGTTACCAAGGTGACCAGCCACCCGGCAAGCTAAAGGATTATTAAACTTGAGAGAGCAAAAGTGGCATGCCCCAGGCCATCGCAGTGACCCTGGGGGTTCAGGTGTCCTGAAAGGCTCCTCTGTTACAAGTAGCATTTACAAGGAGAGCTTTGCACTAAAAGGAAGCAGGAGAGAAGGGCCTCACTGTCCGCTGTTACCCACTTCCATAGTAGAGTTGCAACACTCTTGGGGACGCTTTCAGTTTATCACCTTTTCAGAGTTTCCTCTGGGACTCAGAACACCCTCCGCCTCCGAAACCGAAACAGGAGCCCGAGCTTCTCTTTCCTCTTGTCTTTGAGAGGCCGGTCATGGGTGCAAACTAAGCCCGAGGCTTGCGTTGGCAGGGCAAGGCACAGAACTCTCTTTGCAGACCCCGTGGAGGAAAAGAACAGGGCTGAAAAGCTAGGAGACCTAAACTGAGGACAAACCAAGGTCAGAGAGGGACAAATGTTTTCAAATGGAATACGGGGCATGGAACGTTCCACGAGGGGCCCACTTTGGAGATGAGAAGTGTGACCCTGTATGTGGAGCTTGGCACACTTTTCACACTAGTTATTGGCCATCCAGATGGAGGTGCCCAACGAGCAGCTGGACATATGAGTGTGTACTTAGATCAATGGCCCTCAGGCTCCTGTGAAGCATAAAAAAACTCTGTGCCAACATGACAGCAAAGAAAGCCTTCCCTAAATGATTCTAAGTAAAACCATTATAATATTTAAAGGCACCCACATTGTCGACATACTTTATTTGAACTTTTTCCTCAGTTTATTTTTCTCTTCTGTTTGAGTTATTGATTTTTCTTCTCCAAGGTACATTTTACGTAAATACACAGATATCTTCTATATTTCACCATTTCCATGTTCTCCTCCTTGTAGCACGCAGCTCAAAAATTCTTTCTCACAGATTGGTCAGGTTTTGGTAATTTGCCTCCCAGAGCATTGTAGCGGCCATTCATTAAATGACAAATGCCTTTGGAATATTCCAAGTTAGGGATTCAGACTCACCAAACCCAGGAAATCTATCGGCTCCAAATCAGACACTGAGTGTTTTGTAAGCATTAGTTTACAAAGGTCATTAACGTGCTGGTGGTTGAGGACATCCACATACATCCAGCAGAGATGAGGATAAGTGACTCCACTTCCACCCTCGTGAGAGCAATCTGCACAGACCAGGTCTGTTCTAGCACCCAGGCTTCTGACCCAGAAGCTACATGTGATCAACCATTGATTGCATGAAACTCAGGACTGTGTTCCTATCTTTCCCATGGGTTTTTGGCAGCATTCCAGAAAAAAACAGCTTATGACCCTCTCTTTTGAGCCACAGAAATTTCCTAGAATTCATCACAAGCAAAATGGTCTTGGCCCTGAAAGGCTGATTCATCTCTGAACCAAGGAAGTGGAGAAAGGTGAGTGATGCCCCTGATACTTACCTCAGTTACCCTGCTAACCTTACTCAGTTTCTGGCTTTTATGTGGTCATGTCTTCTGGGTAAATGGAGACTGCTTTCAAGACCACAGAATTGGAGTTTAAATAAAAGGCTAATTTGACTTAACCCCTCTAGGTAATTAACGTTAGGATGCTGAAGTGTTCCTGGATGAGGTGTACTGGTGTCTGCAATTTCCTTTGAATGCACCAGAAATAACAACAATGATCAGAGTAGTAGTAGCAGTAGAAGTAGTAAGACCAATAAAGGAGGATTGATGGATGGATAGAGAGTTGGATAAACATATACGACAAAGCAAGTAGAGCAAAATCTAATTGCCCAATCTAGATGGCAGGTGTATGGGTGCTCGCCGTACAATTCTTTTACCTTTCCTGTATTTCGAAATTCCTCATGATAAATTTTTGGGAAAGATAATTTGAATCAAAGTGGGAATCATGGCTGGAAAGGTTCCATAAAGCCACCTCCTTTGCTTATTTTCTTCACTTCCAACTCTGGCACCATGTACACAGTATGATTCAGTGAGCGTCTGTGGAGTTGGGCTGTCGAACTTAATTCCAATCTACTAGGTCATTTCCACAGCTGGCAAGACTCTCCTAGAGCATGAGTTGGCAATTTTTTTCTGTGAAGGCCAGATAGTAAATATTTGAGATCTTGCAGGCATACGGTCTCTGTTGCAACTACTCCGCTAGGCCGCTGCGCACAATATATAAGGAATGGACGTGGCTGTGCTCCGATACATTTTATTTACAAAAGCAGGTGGTGGTCATAGTTTGCCAACTCCATCTTGGGCCCCAAATCCCTCCACTAAAAAAAAAAAAAGAGGGTAAAATTGATAGCATGCCTACAGGCTCTGTAAAGATTTCGTATGTATCAGGATAGGTCCTAACAAAAAGGAACAGCAAAACTTCTCATGTCTACCTCTATCCCCCACTTACCCATCTCCTCTCATAAGAACCAAGTCTAATTGTTCCACCACTGAGCCTGAGGTTTAATAGGCAAGCGTTTCTGGGAGAGGTGGTACATTAACGTTCCATCCCAATAAGTGTTGACTGTTCACATCAGATCCCAACCTCCAAGGAGATCCTCTTAGCACCAGGGGAATACATGCGAGAGGTGATGGAGTGGCATCCCCAGTGAAGAGATGCCCATGGAAAAAGCTCCGGGTGCAGAGAGATGTCCCCAGGACTTGCTCTTTAAAAAGCGGAGACAGACATTAAAAGTAATAAAAAAGGGGATCCCTGGGTGGGTCAGCAGTTTAGCGCCTACCTTCAGCCCAGGGCATGATCCTGGAGACCCAGGATCGAGTCCCACGTTGGGCTCCCTGCATGGAGCCTGCTTCTCCCTCTGCCTGTGTCTCTGCCTCTCTCCTCTCTCTCTCTCTCTCTGTGTGTGTGTGTGTATCTCTCATGAATAAATAAATAAAAATCTTTTTTAAAAAAGTAGTAAGTAAATAAATCATGTAGCAGGTTTTAAGGTGTTAAGTGCTGTGGAAAAAGACAAAGTAGGGCAGAGTAAGGGAGACTGGCAGTGCTGGGTGGAGAGAGGTTATAGTAGTAAACAAGGTGGTCCGGGTAGGGCTCATTAGGAGGATGCCATTTGAAGCAAAGCCCAGAGATGAGCAAAGGAACCAGGCAGATAGATGTTTGTGACAGTTTGCCTGGCAGAGGAAACTACCAGTGCAAAGGCCCTGGGGCAGACAGTGCTTAGAATAGTGTAGGAGTACCCAGGAGGCCAGCTTTAGGAGAATCATGATGAGATGATGTTAGAGACCGCACTCGGGGACCAGAAGAGGGGGGACCAATGGAGAGCTCAGACTGGGCGAGTGGCAGGATTCGAGTTGCTTGTGAAAGAATCGCTCTGGCTAGCCAGTGGAGAACAGACCTCCAGGAGCAAGAGCCGAAGCAAGGATAGCAGCCAGGAGGCAGGGGCGACATTGCAGGTGACGGATGGTGGCAACTTAGACCAGCAAGTAGCAGTAGAGGTGGTGAGCTCTCTCTCTCTCTCTCTCTCTCTCTCTCTCTCTCTCACACACACACACACACACACACACGCACGCACGCACGCATGCGCGCGCACACACACACACACACACACACACACACAGTGGATCCTTCCAGGTTCTTTCTTAGCTAAAGATAAGCGCTACTCCTCCCAAGTGGACAAGCTTGTTTACCTCAGAAAGTCGAATTGTCTCATGCATCCCTGCAGAAGCTCATCGCCTGTTAATGGCTTGCGTGAACAAGCTTTAGGGAACATTCCTAAGGGTCTCACCGGGTACAGGTGACCATGTAGGCTATAACTGGAACAAGTTAAATCATGTGATCGAAGCAGCAGGTTGCTAACAACGGGTTAGAATCACGCTGAAGGCACGGAAAATGCCTTCCAGAGCCAAGGGAAGGTTGGGGCGAAGCGGCCGAGGAAGGGAATGAATGGAGTAAGTCAATAAATCTATGACACTTGACTCAGAGGAAGCCACCCCTCCCTGCTGCCCTGGAGTCTCTCAAGGCCCCAGAAGGGATGGGGATCCTAAGAGACTGTGCCCAGGTGTTTCCAGGGTGCTACCACTACCTCCTTCCCCACCCCGAAATTGACAGTCCATTCTAGAATTGATCTCCTGCCAGGGGACCATGTTTAAACAGTGGAGTTAAATACACATCGCAGAGCGCAGCATCCACCTATGTGGCCAAGTAGCGGCGCCACGGTCCTTGGCCTCACCCCGAGTTTCTGGAATGACTGCCTACTGCCTTCCCAGAGCCCGAAGAGCTACTGGGGCTCCAGCCGCGACTCATTTGCTCTCAGGGTGTAAGCTCCCCTCTTGCGAATTCTTCCGAAGGGCTCTTTGCCCCTTCCCGAACCACGCGGGTTTCAAGCAGAAACGTCAACAGCGCCTCGGCCAAGCTGTTTTCCACGCGCTCTACTCAGCTAGACCTTCCCTTGGGGTTCTCTGCCTGCGGTGGACAGAAGGCCCTGGAAGGTGCGGGCTGCCCCTGCCCGGCCTACTACGGTCTGCAGCCCCTCGCGGAGCCCTTGGCACATGGTAGGTTCCGGGCAGGACGCGTCCGCTCAACAGACCACCCCTTGGAGAGTCGGTAGCTTCGCTCCCTGCGGCCAACCCAAGATTTCATCACCCCATAGATGTTTCCAAATAGGCTCACGTAGCCGACCACGTGTGAGTTGATACGGCGTGTCCCTGCATAGCAGAGGGATGATCGGGGGGTTGGCCGTGGAGAGCAGAGCCTCGAAGAATTCAGTAGACGTATTACAGATGGCCCGTCAGTGAGGACCGGAGAGGAGGGTGGCACGAGGAGGGCCAAGAGTGGTCATACTGTCCTAACGATGTCGAGGGACTCACGCTCCTTCACCGCAATCTGGGTGCCTGGCACGTTAGCCAGAGCGATCTCTTTTCCACTTGGGGAGTCCCTGAATAATTGTTCCATGTGTTCCTTTTCGGGCACACTACCGTCCTTCTCTGCCACCCCCCCGGCCCCCCTCCGTCCAGCGGTGAGCTGCAGTTCTCATTGCTTATTCTCTGCGCTCTTTGGCGTTACCTCATGGTTTCCTGGCTCGTGGGAGAAGTCAGCGTCAGAAGCGGGCTTTTGCCGAGCTAGTTTCTTGTCCTTCCCAGCGCAGAGCTCTCTAAACAAAGGCAGGGTTATCACACGAACCCAAGGGCTGCCCGGGAAAAGCAGGCGCTGTGGTTATCAAAATTGGAACCTTTATGAAACACGCTTTTGTCTCCGTTTGTGTTGCATTCAATCAGATCAACAAGTGTTGGCTAAGTGCTGAGCGTGGTTTCCTGTGGGATTGTGTAAGGCCCTTGCAGGACAATAAACGTTTTGGGGGCACTGAGTAATGTAGCCATTTCGGACCCAGCCGCCGGGAAAATGTGAGACGGTCCGCTGCCGCTGGAAGGAAGGAGGGCAGCCGCGCCTGTGTGCGTGCAAGAGCAGACTGACCCCTCGGCGGTGGACCCCCGGCGGCCGATCGAGAGCCACAATGGTGCGTTGCAGCGGCAGGTGGCCACACGAGGTCATAGCCGACAGGCTAACAGGTTCAGAGTGATGCATATGACGTTGCTGGGGCTCCTCCGGGGACTTTGGATGAGACCGTGTAATTGGGAGGCCCGCTGCGGTTTTACTGTCACCCCCCACCCCCACCCCAGCTCAAAATCTCGTTCAGGGGAGCTGTCAGGTGGTGTACACGGCCGTGGGCTCCAGCCAGCCCTGGGTGCTTCCTCTGCTGGTTTTCTCCGCGCTATTCTGCAGGCATTGCCCCTCCGTGACTTTGCATGTTGGCTTCCTAACTGCTTCCGAAAAGCCAGAGAAGTGTCATTCTGACCCTCTTTTATTTACCTGGGTTTTTATGGTGTTCGTTTCGCTATGAGTGCTTGTTCTCAGGTTCCTGAAGTCTTCCAGAGTCTGGGGTTTCGGGGTGGGGGTGGATTTTAGGTGGTGATGGGAAGATGGGGCAGGTGAGCCTTTCGGTTACGGTCACGGCCAGATACCTTTGAAAGTTCTTGCAGCCCACGGTAATTTCACTGGGTTTAAGAAGTAGTACAAGGGTATCGTGGTCTAGGGCAGGGCTTTCCAAACTCTCATGAGCACGTGAGGCACCTGGGGACCTCGCCAAAATGCAGATTCCGATGCACCAGGTCTGGGGGGGGAACTGAGGGTCTGCGTGTCTCTCAAGCTCCCGGGCCACGCTGATACTCCAGTCCACGGACCACTCCTGCAGTAGCAGCCACGTATCACTGATTTGCAAGAAACCTAGTGGCACAAAAACACAGACAGGAAGGGGCTGCTTCAACCTGATTCTAAGGAAAGCAGTCCCAGGATTGAAAGCTTGTACCAGACACACAGGGCAGGTGCTTGCTGACAAGAGAATGCGTGGGGCATCTTCCTGCCTCCTGTGATCACCCATCCCCGGGACCTGGGTAAGAAGGGTGAAGACTGAAATATTATCCTCGAGGGTCATTTCATCATCTTGAGTTTTTAACTTTTCCTATGGTCCTTTTTTTTTTTTTTTTGACTTTACCTATGGAGTGATGACGGGAAGGGGTATAGAATTTGGGAATATCTGTGAGCGTGCTGGGCATCCTATTGCCATCTTCTCTTAACTCCTCAGAACCCTTCCAGGTGGTTACTATTTTCCTCCCTTTACAGATGGGGAAGCTGAGCTTTAGCAGGGCTAAGTGACATGCCGGGGTGCATAGAGATGGAACAGGGATTTGAACCCACCATCTTGGTGCTTTTGCCCACACCAGCCTGTATCACCCAAAGCAGTGCTGTGTATTAGTAATTCAGCATAAGGAATTAGGACATGGATTTATCACTTGTTGCTTTTTTCCTAACCACCCCATAAGGTGACTGAATTAGGACATACCCCACAGGATGGTGGGGGGGTGGCCTACCCCCCCCCCCGCTGGAGTAAATGAATGCATATTTTTAAGGTGCTTTAAATAGTGCCCGGCACAAGGCAAGTCTTCCTTAAATGTCAGCTAGGATCATTATTGCTACCATCACTCATATCCTTCAAGACCTAGTTTTAACACCCTTCCTTCCATAATGTCTTTCTTGATTATCTTAAGAAAAAAGAAACAATTCTCCTTCCCTGGGCCTTTCGGGGCAAAGAGAACATGGACTCTGCTCTAACATTCGAGTTGTTTCTTTCCCCCCTCTTCTTTTTCAATCGTGGTTCAGCGCCCAGGGCGCACCCAGAACGTTTACATAAGCTTTCTCATTCAAGCCCCAGAAAGTGAGAGAGCTGTATAACCCATCTTATCTTACAGATCCGGAAAATTGAAGCTTAGCGCAGGGAAGGGGCTCGGTCGGGATGACCCAGCTCCCAAATGACAGTCGTGTAAAGTCCGCCACGCCTTCTGAGTCCACCCTACACCCCCAGCCTCCGCCCCTCCAGCCACCTTGCACATTAATTAGGTATGAGACCCATCTCTCGGGTCTGCTTCTTGTCACCCGGGCAGTGGAGAGCTGATCCTCGCTTCTGGAACCATTCACTCGAGGTCTGGCCCGCCGCGGGCTCAGAATCGAGTGCGCTGGGCCTGCAGGGTTGAACATCTTTCTCTCCTGGTCATGCTTCCTTACGGATGCTCACCGATCCTGGTGATTCCAAGTCGTGTTAATTTAGCATTCACCTTTTAGGTATGTGATAGGTTACCTGATGGTTGCTGGCATCCTTAGAAAAATGCTATATTGGTTTCTTTTTTAAAAACCTAAAATTTGTTTAAAGATTATTTATTTATGTATTTGAGAGAAAGGGGGGGAGCACGCATGAGCAGGGGGCAGGGCAGAGGGGGAGGGAGAAGCAGGTTCCCAGAGGAGCAAGGAGCCCAACCACCGAGCCAGGGGCTCGATCTCAGGACCCCGGGATCATGACCTGAGCCGAAAGCAAATGCTTACTCGAGTGAGCCCCCCAGGCGCCTCTACTATATCGATTTCTGCCAGTTTTTTTGTTTTGTTTCTTTGTTTTTGCCTCCCCTCACTTTAATCTCCTTCTAGTTTCATGTGCTTATGGAAATGGGCAGCCCGCCTATTTGGTAAGCAAATTGATGTGCCTGTTTCATGTAGACGGTAATGTGAGAGCCCAGCCAAATTCTGCCAACTTCTCTATGGAAATAGATTTCTGGCTAATACCACCAGCTTTAGGATCTCATTTCATTTCAAAAGTTTTGTGTGTTTTTTTTTTTTTTGGTTTTGTTTTGTTTTTATCTTCCCACTGAGTATTCCTTAGGCACGGGTAGGCAGAGCCGAATTTGCTAGCTGTTGGACAGGCATTTGAGTCAACAGTGGAGCCTGTTGACTTATTGTCCTAATACAGGGAGGAAATATTATGTTTCTAAAAATTAGGCATCACCGACTACCTCTTCCTGTACCAGGGGAGACCTTAGGAATGCCTTCAGTTTAGAATCTAGGCTGATGTAGCAGAAGAGAGAAGTACAAGGAAGGGAGAGAAGCAAACAGAGGTAGAAAGGCTGGAGCCAGGTACTGTCTTAGAAGAAACTGATCTGGATGAGACAAAACATGAGTCATCAAAACGGGGTTCTTCAAGTTTGTTAGGAAGCTCCGGGGTCCAGCTGAGGGAGTAGAAGTTTGAAGGTCTCCAAAGACATGTGTGTGTTACATGAGAATAGGGGCACCTAGGTGGCTCAGTGGGTTCAGCATCTGCCTTTGGCTCAGGTCATGACCCCAGGGGCCTGGGATCAAGCCCTACATTGGGCTCCCTGCTCAGCAGGGGATCTGCTTCTCCCTCTGCCTCTGTCTGCTGCTCCCCCTGCTTGAGCTCTCTTTCAAATAAATATTTTTTAAAAAGGCGGAACTTTGGAATGAACAACTTTATTGAAATTTGACAGATTATATCGCATCGGATGCAACAACATGCATAAAACCCTGGAGTCCTGGAAGAAAATGTGCTCAAGGACTTGCTACTTTTCTTGTCTGGCCAATGTTCTTCCCTTTAATATACAGAAGCAACTTTGTGAATTTCATTTGTCAACAGTTTCTGTGACTCACCAGATTAATTTTTAGATAAAATCCCCCCAAATCTTTAATGCAATGAATATAAATGTTCTATAAACAGAAGTGTGTGTATGATCATGCAGTACTGGGACAGTTTGCTTACTACCTGGGACGTTAGGATTTGCATTTTTTAAAACGGTGCTTTTAATGTTATGAGTTCATTCAATACCTGACAAAGTTTTGAAGAGTAAACTTTCTTTTTCTTCTTTTCTTTTTGAAAAGTAAACTTTCTATTCAACTAACCAGATCTATTTAACTAGCATTCCGCTTTGAGGAGTCCTGTTCTAGCAGTGGATATAAAAGACGTTTGATAAACGTTTTCACAGTTTTCTTTATACCCTTTGTTAGTAAAATTTTTAAATGCAGGGATGTAAAAGACAAAAGTATCTTAAAACTTACCACAAGTGCCCAATGTGGTATGGCTCCCCAAAAGGGGAATGTACCTCAAAAAAACTAGACCCTCCACAGTTTCAGTAAATCTTCAAGGAAATTCTCTTCCGGCCATAGACTTTGGATGTAGAAAATCATCTTCTCTGAACAGGCGCATTTGTAGAGTTTCTAACGAAGACGTGTTACCTGACTTCCCAGATCCTGCTGGGTTTACCTAAGCCCCCCAGCCTCTGCCCATCTTTGAGTCTGGAGGCCAAGAAACCAGTGACCACGACAAATAGCCCCCACTGTGCTCAAAAGAAATCCATTCTACTTTTCCAAAGGATTTATCCTTTTTTTCCTAGATAAAACAATATTCAAAACAAAAAGTAACTAATGGATAAGATTTGTAATGGATAAGATCTCCATTACTTCTGCCTCTAAGTCAAATGATGCCCTTGGAGAACATTTGAGTCACTTCATCTGTATAAATAATGAACATAAGCTGATTTTCTTGATTCCTGTTTCTAGAGTGTTATGGTCTACATCAGGAGGGAAGCTGGCTGGACTTGACCATGGTTTATCCAATGTGTCTCCCTTCCCTCCCACTTCCCTGCCATAGTAGGCCTGTCATGCTCAGGGCCAGTGAGAAGTGACTTTTAGTGATTGGACAGGTTCACGTGCCCCCCCCCTCATCCACACAGAGCAAAGCCTATGTGGATGCTTCCGGATGGAGAGTGATAAATAGGATGCAAATATCTTCTTTGTAATGCGTGATCCTGGCATAGCCAGAGGGAATATGAGTACCTCAGAGCAGCAACTTTTGGCTTAGAGCTTGAGAGTTGAAGTTAAGGACCCATAAGCAAACTCCAGCTGATCCTGATTGAATGCAAGGTGAGTAAAGTTAATGACATTCAGATTATCAGTAAACAAAGAGAGGTAGAAATTATTGAACATCTGACTGCTAATACTCATGTGATTTCACAAAGTGAAGAAGAACATAGGAAAGTTTCTCTCTTGTGACCTACCAATTAACATTACTTTTTTTTTTAACATTACTTTTCCTTTCCAGACTTAATATCGTACTGAGGTGACAGTACGTATTGAAGTGACAGTCTTAGTAGAACCAGAAAATTGATGGACTTATTTTCTAGAGATACCTTAAGCTTTAATGTTTTCCATGGCTCTGGAAGGAAAAGCAAGAGTGTTCTTGTTTTGTAAGGCGCCAATTTTTTTTCAATTCTTTAAAACGGATGTCGATAGCATTTTTAAATGTTCTGTGCTCAGAAATATTGAAAAGTATACCCGTGTCCTTTATGTTAAAGATCTGATCACGATCAGGAACTGTGGGTATCACTTACAATGATAGCAGAGTCTCACAGTGGTCTGGAGGATTTGGTCAAACAGCCAGACACATTAGTGGAGAGAAATTTGTTGATCAGTTCCTTCAGATATAGTGAGCTGTCTGGAGTTCAAATATTTCAAAGTTTGATCATATATAATCTGATTCAACAAATGCCTATAGAATGTTTAAGGAACAAGGAGAATTTCGATAAGGTGGTCTGGAGGGTAGTGCAAAGATGGTGAATTTATGATCCAAAGTGGGAGGCGAGTAAAAATACATAAGATGTTGTAAACAAATCAACACTATTTATAAAAGTCAGAGCTGGGCCACCTGGGTGGCTTAGTGGTTGAGCGTCTGCCTTTGGCTCAGGATGTGATCCCCGGGGTCCTGGGATTGAGTCCCACATAGGGCTCCCTGGGGGGGAACCTGCTTCTCCCTCTGCCTGTGCCTCTGCCTCTGTCTCTCTCTCTGTGTCTCTCATGAATAAATAAATAAAATCTTTTTAAAAAGTCAGAGCCAAGGCTGTAGGAATGAAATACAGATGTAGGTGTTGTTAAGAGTCTGCTTAGTTAAAATTTCCTCTCTAACTCTAAATCTGATTTTTAAGAATTATATTATTTAGATTATCCCTGAATGAGAAATAGTTGACTAAAAATTCTGAAGGCTAAAAGAGAATGTAGCTAGGTGCCGCAAACACTCATTCTCATTATTTTATTTGATTTAGGACGACAATATGGACACAAAATCCATTCTAGAAGAACTTCTTCTCAAAAGGTCACAGCAAAAAAAGAAAATGTCGCCAAGTAATTACAAAGAGAGGCTTTTTGTTTTAACCAAAACAAATCTCTCCTACTATGAATATGACAAAATGGTGAGACCCTACTTGTTCCATTGTTTTTGTACTATTTATTTTTCTTGAGTCTCCACAAAGTGCTGAATGACAGTGAAACAATGTCAGGTTTCTTAGCTCACACAGTAAAGATCAACCTGACTTCACTTATTACATTGTCTTAACGAAGGTATGGTTAATTCAAGATAAAAGGTTTTACAATATTGGCTAACTTTACTAAGGCAATTTATAACTTTAGAACACTGGTTCTCGACTGAGGGTGATCTGGCCCCCGAGAGGGCATTTTTGGTTATCATAATTTGGAGGGGGGGTGTAGTGAGCTACTGGAATCTAGTGGGTAGAGGCCAGGGATGCTGCTAAGCCTCCTATAGTGTACAGAACAGCCCCCATCATAAAGAGTTATCTGCCCCCAAATAGTGCTGAAGATAAGAAACACCGCCTTAACACCATGCTGGAAATCAAACTATTTCTATACAACTGAGAATTCTAGCAGAGTAGAAGTCCTAAAATACTGTCTTAAAATTGAAACAAAATTAAAATGCTTTTTGAGGGGCTCAGTTGGTTAAGCCTCTGACTTGGGTCCAGATCTCAGGGTTGTGAGATCAAGCATGGCATCCAGCTCTGTGTTGGGCATGGAGCCTGCTTGGGATTCTCTCTCTCCCTCTCTCTGTTCTTCCCGACCCATAAAAAAAAATTTAAAAGATGCTTTCTGGAGTTAAATCCTGATTTTCCATAGACTAAGCACATGGCAGGTGATGGAAATATGTTTCAAGATTATTAAAATAAAATTAATTGCTGCTTCTCGACTTGCTTTTGGAGGAGCATATTAGTTTGTGCCCACACTCGAAAATATATTCTGTTGCCACTGGATTTTGACTCTGATGGAATAATTGGAAGAATTCTCACATACCCATCCCATCTCTCCATCTCCCTCACTTTACGCTTTTCTTTGGGTACCGTTGTGTATCGCATTACGCATCTTATATTTTGGTTTTTAATTCAGAAAAGAGGCAGCAAAAAAGGATCAATTGAGATTAAGAAAATCAGATGTGTGGAGAAAGTAAATCTCGAGGAGCAGACCCCTGTGGAGAGACAGTACCCATTTCAGGTAAGGGGAGGGACAACATTCTATTGGATGGATGGTTTTGTTTTAATATTTTCTATTACAAACTCAACATATTGGCAATAACTAAAGATGTTGCAAAATGATGAAGACAATGATAAGACTTGGAACATTCCCAGATGGGAGTTGGGCATTTTCCTGAAATTCTATCTACCAATCTGCTTTCTCTAGGGGGAGAGAAAGAAAGAGGAGCAAGTAAGCCACAGTGGCCTGACTTGCCTTGGGGCCTGACAATCTCTTTCATCAAACATTGTGGAGCATTTCCAGGGGGCTACAAGATAGAGGCACACCATATAAGGAATCAAATGCGTCCTCCTCCCCAAGGCATTTGCAGATCGTTATAATGCAGTGAGGGTGAGTGTTAAGATGAAGGTCTGCAGAGGAGCCATGGTGCCCCCCAGAAGCGGAAGTTCACTCCTCACTCGAAGAGGTCAGGACGATTATCTATGGGAGGTGACACTCGGGTTAGGAAGGACAAGTGTGGCCCAGCATAAACAGGAAGGGCAGTGAAACAGCAGAAGTCAGGGCGCTATAGGTGAAGTAGTGTGGCATGTTGGGAGAGCTCCAAGTCTCCTTAGGAATAAAGGGGCCCTGTGAACAAGCAGACACAAGCCTGGAAAGGTAGGTGGGGCCACGTCATGAAAGGCTTTGCACAGCATACCGAGGAGTTTGCATTTTACCCTGAAGTATTTTTAAGCAGGGGCATGGTGCAGAGAGTGTGCCTACAGTACCCTTTGGAAATGGCTTGATCTTGGGCACCTGGGCGGCTCAGAGGTTGAGCGTCTGCCTTTAGCTCAGGGCATGGTCCTGGGTCCTTGGGATTGAGTCCCCCATTGGGCTCCCTGCATGGAGCCTGCTTCTCCCTCTGTCTGTGTCGCTGCCTCTGTGTGTGTGTGTGTGTGTGTGTGTGTGTGTGTCCCTCATGAATAAGTAAATAATCTTTAAAAAAAAAGGAAATGGCTTGATCTAAGTCATGCCCTAGTTTTATCATATCATTGATACTTATTTTTCTGATCTAAAGGCAGACGGACTGTCCCTCCGAGGGTCAGACAACCCAGTGTTAGTGGCTCGAGGGAACTGTGGTCAAAAATGAAATAAAGTCATCTGGTTGATGAATAATCCATACAATGTTTAAAAGTGAACATTGCCCAATTGGAAGAAACCAGGGAGGGTTTCTTGAAAGTTGCTTCAAATTTGTATCATGGAAGCATGGAACACTCAGAAGAGCACAGGCTTTGGAAGCACACAGAGTCCTTAACCCCACAGCTTGGACTTGTGTTACCATAGGCAACACACTCAACCCTCTGAGTTTGTGCCTTCATTTGCAAAGTGCAAATAATCATACATATTTCACAGAGTTGAAATAGGACTAAGATCTTAAAGTATCTAGGAAAGAGCCCAAAAACTAGTAGATATTTAATAAAGGGTCTGTATCGTTTACTCACAAAAACTGAGTAAGCTAGAGAAGGATCTGGGGAAGACGTTATAATGTTCTGACATTTAAACAAGCATCTTAAAGAAGAGAGAATGATTTCTGCTGGGGACTTCGTGGGGAGGGACATGACCCCAGGGAATGAAGTAACAGGGAGGCAGATTTTTACTCAGTATAAGCACCAACTATATAATGATCAGAATATACAGAAATTGCCAAGGATGGCATAATAATAGTAAAGGGCATTTCATCCCTGAAGATATTTTTTTATTTTTTATTGGAGTTCAATTTGTCAACACATAGCATAACACCCAGTGCTCATCCCATCAAGTGCCCCCCTCAGTGCCCGTCACCCAGTCACCCCCACCCCCCGCCCACCTCCCCTTCCACCACCCCTTGTTCGTTTCCCAGAGTTAGGAGTCTCTCATGTTCTGTCTCCCTTTCTGATATTTCCCACTCATTTTTTCTCCTTTCCCCTTTATTCCCTTTCACTATTTTTTATATTCCCCAAATGAATGAGACCACATAATGTTTGTCCTTCTCCGATTGACTTATCATCCCTGAAGATATTTTTAAGGATAGACCAGCAGGTAAACATTTTCCAATGGGCTATAAGTAGAGTCATGTGCTGGGTTGGTGGATGGACCAGAACACTCCTAAGACACCTGTAATATCTAACATTTTAGACTTTATAATTCTCCATGGTCCAGGACACCCACGCTGGGACCTCAATGTTCACTGTTGGCAGATCTTCCCAAGTGTAGGAGTGTCTGCGATGAAACAAATTGAGAGGTGGAGGATAAAAATAACTAGATCTTTTTCATCTAATTCCAGAGTGAATGCATATTTTATAAGCTAACTCAACTTTTCTTCAGGGTACCAGAAAATTCGCAGTTACACTGGAATGAACCATGGATGCAATTATATCTAAATGCACCCAACCTTTTCCTTTCCAGATTGTCTATAAAGATGGGCTTCTCTATGTCTATGCATCAAACGAAGAAAGCCGAAGCCAGTGGTTGAAAGCATTACAGAAAGGTAATTTTTAAAAGTACTAAAAGGGAGTCCTCAATTGAGTTCTGTTGAGGCTCGGTGGGGGAAGGATGTGGCAGTAAAAGGACCCACTGCCAAGAGAGAATCTGCTGATTTTCCTACCAACCTCAGAGAATGTGCCACGCTCATGCTCATTTTGCATTCTCGTTGTCACGTGGAGCGAGCCTGTGGGTCGGATCCCCTTTCCTGCCCTGCACAGAGCTGGCTATTGTGCCTTCCAGCAGCGTGGAGGAAGCCAGACCACCTGCTCTCCATCCACTGTGCTTGTCTTTACCCAGGCAAAGTCTGTGTTCTCCTGGGGCTGGGTCAAGGCCTGTGGCTACCGTACTTTGGCTGTTTACAGAAAGTTCTAGCTAAGTACTAAGTACTTATCATCTGCCAACTACTGTGTCAAGTACTTAGTAAAACATTTCCTCAAGTAATCTTGACAACTCAATAGAAAGGGGAAATATTATTCTCCCTTTTTCAGATAAGTGAAATTAAAGAGACACGGCCAGTGTCACGTACCTAATAACGGAGAACTCATAATTCTACTACCCCAGCCAGGCTTTTTAACCAGGACGGAATAAATGCTAGGCAAAACCGGGGATTTAATGGAGCTTTTCCTCAGGGATTCCTCGGCTGCTCTGGTGACAAGCTGTGATAGGAGAGAGAACGTTGCTAGTAATTTGGCAACATGATGTTTCTCCCTGTGATATTCTTATTTGAAAGGAAGATAACTGTGTGAGGATAGTACAGAACTCGAATGGATGACTCTTCTGGTGGAATTTCAGATATTAAGCCCCCAGACAGGGTGAGGTTTTATTTTATTTCATGCTAAGTTTGAGATTAGGGTTCTTTCTCAGTATACTTCAAATTATACCCCTTTAGACAACCACATACTCCACTTTGATGCAAATACATCCTTTTTGTCACACATAGGGCTTCATTTTTCCTTTGCATGAAAGGGTTTAGCAACCTCTTCTGTAGGATAGTCAAGTGGTCCGGTGAGGGGAGAAGCCTCCCTCTTCCTGCTCCCAGCTTGCAGGAGTGAGAAGGGCATCCCTTGTAGAGACAGACAAGTCTGCCTCCAAGTCCTGCTTTGCTGTGTCACCTAATAAAACCACCTCCCACCTCTGGATCTCAGTTTCCAGACCTATAAAATGAGAAGTCCCGTTGCTTTCTCCCTAGAGTGATCATGAGCCACAAATGAATGACTCACATACATATTAAGGTATCCTACACACAAACGTGAGTCAGTGCGGTTACAGTGGGGCCTGTAGGATGAGCTCTCAGGTGCTGCTTCCCATTCAGGCTCCTCTGGAGGGATTTCCTGGGAGTAGTTGCTGTGTAGACACCTCCAGTGTGCAGCTATGAATCATGGCCTAGAGTCCTCTGTGGGTCCTTCTGGAAGGATAGATGGCAAGCAGGTTTGGGTGGGCCCTGGAGAGCTCAGGTAAAGGCACATAGAGCAAAAAAGGAGAGCAGAGGGAGAGAGAGGCACAGGTGAATCTCTTAGCCCCTTGTAAAACTTCAACTCAGTGAAGTCGGGGGGGGGCAGGATGCCACTAGCTTTCTTCTCTGCCACCTTTCCAGGCTCTTGGGAAGGCTCTGAGCTTTTCTAGAAGCATCCCTTGCAAACTTCAGCACATGTTCTACTGGCCACAACTGTGTCTCATGGCCATCTCTACATGCAAGGGAGGCTGCACGACAGTATCTGGTTTTTCCAGCCTCTCTGCTGGGAAAGAGTAAGAGAGAAGGTGGGTGAGATTGGCTGCCAGCTTGAAGGAAACAGCTGTCAGGCTGGCCAACCAGCCGGCCGCAGGAAAACAAAGGAGTTTCCTCGCTTAAATCCTCTCCCCTATGAAGCCTTTTTCGTCTGCGATTTAGCTCGGGCATGATAAACTGAGCTGGCGTGGGAAGCACAGCATTTTCCAGATGGTGGCCTATACTCAGGAGGTGTGGGCTGACGTCGTGAGGACTCGGGTGTGTGGGCCACCAGTTCTGAATCCAGCCGACCAGATGTGGCTAAAGCGTGTCCTCCTTTCCAAAACTGAGAACTGCAGCGGGTGCCCCAGGGAAGCCGGCACCTGTGCGTCGGATTATAGGACAGAAAGCTGGGGCCCGAGTCTCGGATATGCTTCTTACCAGAGGCTTGTGAGCGTGAGCAGGTTACAGCACCTCTCTGCAGCTCACCTAGCTCTCTAAGTGCCGTGAAGACAATCCCAGGTCCCCGCAGGGCTGTCGAGTAGGTGAAACCGGAGGATATATGTGAGGGGACTACGTCAGCTCCTACACACACATTAATATATGCGAGTTCCTCTTATTGTCATTATTAAATGGTGCGAGTGTCGCAATGTGGACTTTTGGACTTGACTGGAAAAGAATTGGTTACCCAGGAAACGAAATTCATGTAGTAGGAAATAACAGGAATCCCGGCATGTGGGGAGCAGGAGCCTGGGGAGCAGGAAGGCGAGTAATGCGCCCAAGGAATCTCAACGACCATTTGGGACCAGGGTCAGAAACCCTGGTTTTCTTTTCTTTTCTTTTCTTTTCTTTTTTTAAGAATTTATTTATTTATTAAAGACAGAGAGAGAGAGAGGCAGAGACACAGGCAGAGGGAGAAGCAGGCTCCATGCAGGGAGCCCGACGTGGGACTCGATCCCGGGTCTCCAGGATCACACCCTGGGCTGAAGGCGGCACTAAACCGCTGAGCCACCCGGGCTGCACCAAACCCTGGTTTTCTAATCATAACTCCTTTTGCTTTTTTGTGACTTCTGTAATAATTTCCCTTTAGTTCCCATTAATATTTAGCTAAGTACTTTCATGCAGGTGCTTTCAGCTAAGCTGAGCTGAGCTAAACTAAGGGAATGGTAACACTCTAGGCTCACTGTTAATTGAACTTGTGCTCTGAGCCAAACGCTGTGCTGGATGCTTTACATACATTATGATTGGATCTGATCCAATGACCCAGCAGAGCAGTAATTATCTCCAGACACTTCCTTGAATCAGGGTTGGAAAGGAGGGGCAGAAGTCTCCTAGGATTAAAATAAAGAATCCTTAAGATGAGCATAAAATCCAGAAGAACTGAAGTCACACAGAGAATCAGTCCTCCCCACCTAGGGACTCTTCTTGAACTATTCTCGGCTGAGACCTTGTAGGTTTCTCTGCTGCATTTTGAGAGAAGCTAATTTGGTGTAGAAACAATATTCTACTCCAATATTAGAATTTCATTTCTTTGGGGGCGCCTGGGTGGCACAGTTGGTTGAGTGTTTGACTCTTGGATTCGGCTCAGGTTGTGATTTCGGGGTCATGGGCTCGGGATCCGTGTTGGGCTCCACGCTTGGCTCAGGAGTCTGCTTGGAACTCTCTCTCCTTTACCCTCTGCCCCGCCTGTGCCTTCCCCCAAAGTGAATGAATAAATCTTTTAAAAAATAATAGCATATTTGAAAAAAAATTCATTCTTTAAACATTGCCCTATTACCATTATTTTTTCCATTATTTTTTAAATATGCACATATTCCTAGAAAAGTAGCCCCACAAACCATAGTGTAAATAAGTCAAAGTCACAAAAGACAAAGCAGAGATGAGGTTCGGTTCCGGATCAAGGGAAACTAGAAAACTAAAGGCCACATGTGATTCTGGATTGGAGCCCCAATCAGAAATAGTGAGTGATTATCAAGGGTAATACTGGAACAGTTGGAAAAATTTTGAATATAAAATATTCAGCGACAGTGTTGTTTCAGTGTCAAATATCCTGAATTGGATAATTGTATTATAGTTATGTAAGGGACTGTCCCTGCTAACAGAAGTCACATGCTGATGTGTTTATGGGTGACAGTGTTTAGGTCATGATATCTGCAACTTGTTCTGAAATGGTTAACAAAACATAATAATAATTTTTAAAACTTTTTTTAATAATAAATTTATTTTTTATTGGTGTTCAATTTGCCAACATACAGAATAACACCCAGTGCTCATCCCGTCAAGTGCCCACCTCAGTGCCCGCCACCCAGTCACCCCCACCCCCACCCTCCTCCCCTTCCATCACCCCTAGTTCGTTTCCCAGAGTTTTTAATAATAATAATATGTATATATAGAGAGAAAGAAATAAAGCAAATATGGCAAATAGTTAAAAGTTGGTGAGTCTGGGTGAAGGGTATATGGACATTCATTGTACTATTCTTGAAACTCATCTGTGTGTTTGAAATGTTTCAAAATGAAGAGTGGAGGGAAGTACATGTTCATTCATATTCATTCGAAACTTCTCTTCTTGCTAAGATCTAGTCCTATCCTTCAGCCTCCTTCTATGACAAGAGAACAACATGTGCCCTGACCCGCTTACTTCCTTTACAGATGTATTTCTAGAACCCTAGATCACCAAGTTAATCTGTATATACATTTTCTAGTTTCTTTTGTAACATTGATAGAAGTTATTTTGTTGTTCTCACTATATACCTGGGTAGACTTTTTTTTTTTTTTTTGGCATATTTACTTCTGAGTGAAAGACTTATATCCTTAGGGAAACATTTGCTCTTAGCCTGGTGGCTGGCAAAATAAGGTTTTCATTGTTCTGTGATAACAGCACTTACTGAATGTGTTTCTTCTCTTGGGCCAACATTTGCTCATGCTGTGTTTTCTTCCTGCCTGGTCCCCAGAGATAAGGGGTAACCCCCACCTGCTGATCAAGTACCACAGTGGGTTCTTCGTGGATGGAAAGTTCCTGTGCTGCCAGCAGAGTTGCAAAGCGGCCCCAGGATGTACTCTCTGGGAAGCATGTAAGGTGACCCCTCCCCCTTTGTTGGGCAGGACCCTGGGTGGATGGTGCCCCATTAGGCAAACCTGCCAAACAGAACAGCTCACCGGCTGGGGAAAGGAAGATGTGCCAGATTGGTTGACATCATGAAAATCCAGCCTCAAAAATGCTCTCGGGCAAATGAAGTCTAATTCTAATAACAATATTAACATTTGCCATTCTTCTGTTTTATGAGAACTGTTTTTTTTAATTGGAATCATGAATCAAGCAAGGGGCTGTTTATTTCCTCCCATACTTTTTCCTGGCTTAAGATAGACTCCAAATGGGTAGAATGGGTGAACATATTACCATGGTTCATAACGTAAAATAAGAAACGAAAAAAATCAACATTCTTTTAAAAAAAATACGTTAAAGGATAAAATTCAAATAACCCTTTTAATCACCGTATATACCAAAATGATGGACGACCAAGTTTTAAAAAAGACATATTTAAAGGGTTTACCTTTTGTACCTGTTTGTTGAATTCTTAGTAACACCACAGAAGGTAGCGAAGGGATTTCTTTAAGTGCAATCAGATTCTATCCGGAGATTTCTTTAAGTGCAATCAGATTCTATCCGGAGTTATATTCCTAAGAACACCCGCCTGAAACTTCATCTTGGGACAGAGAAGAAGGCCCACCGAGTGGCTCTGCAAGGCTAATGGAAGGAAGGAATTAGGTTGTTTTCTGCTTGTGCCTTATAGGATCCCACCCATCTCTAGGATATTTACATGAGGTGGTCTTTTTTCTAAGATTTTTAAAAAGATTTTATTTATTTATTGGAGAGAGAGAGAGAGAAAGAGAGAGAGAGAGAGAGAGAGAAAGTGCATGAGCAGGGGGAGGAGGAGAGGGAGAGGGACAAACAGACTCCATACTGAGCATGGAGCCTGAGACAGGGCTTGATCCCATGACCCCAAGATCATGATCTGAGCCGAAATCGAGTCAAATGCTTAACTGACTGAGCCACCCAGGCACCCCATAAGTCAGTCTTATGTATTTTAGAAGTTTATCATTGTTTAACAACATTAGGTTTTGAATAAATTAAAAAAGGAGAACTGATTCTGATAGCAGTTTTACCAGCCTGAACAAAATATGCTTGGATTACAACTTTAACAAATTGAATAAGATCAGTGGTGTGATATCACTCTAGGAACTGAAAAACACACAGGGACCTGAGCTGTTATTCAGATTCACCCCATTTTAGTATTGACACCTGACAGTCACATTGGTGGTATCACTAGTAATCTGACAACAAAAATCAATGAACAAATGTCCATTGTGTTTCTTTTCTTTCTTAATTAGGCTACACAATGAACACTTATTAATCTTAAGTATATTATGTTGTCCTTCATACTCACAAATTAGAGTGATTTAATGAACTATACAGAAATTACTGTGTATGGATCCTCCCTCCACTGTAAGGGGCTGAGGAATAATGTTTCCTTACGGCATTAATTCTTCCCCCGATTACTCTGTCCATGGTCTGGCATCATGAGCCAGCAGGCCAGAGTCTAGCTCCGACCCCAACTCCCTGCGAAAAAGCAGGAAAAAAGGCCAGAGAGAGCACAACCTTGGGATCATCTTCCTAGGCTCTGTCTGGATCGCATCTGCCATATGCTCTGGGTGCAACAGGCTCTTCGCCAACCTCTGAGGAAAGCTATAGGTTTTGGACGTGCTGTGGCCCCTGAGCAGCAATGATACTGTTTAATTAGCCAAGTATAACTTACTCCTCTGCTGAGTTTCAGGGCAGCCCGTGGGTACAGTTACTAGCAAGGAAATAGTTGAGAGTCTGCTTCTTTCTGTCTCTAAGATGCCCTGGGCCATTCCTTTTCCAGGATACATGGCCTACAAGTAAGTTTACCATACACCCCAGTCTCATTCTGTAGCTGGTGACTTGACATAATTTTTTAAATCTTACTTATCCCTGTAAGAAATGTTTCAGTTTGGTTAGTAAACCATACGGTCCTACTTATAAGGCACCTAACGGCTTCACACTCATATCCTGGGCATCTATGTATATGTAGAAGTGGAAAGAGAAACCAACAATTATCATAAGAAATGGAAGAAACTATGGGATAGGTTTGCTCATTTATAAATCAGCTACTTATAAGCATCTTGTATGAGTCAATCAAAGAGGAATCAGACATGGATTCTGACCCCTAGTGACATAGGTACTACCCAACGAGGGCAGATATCTATATTTCAAATATAAGGTGGAAATGCGGTAACATTAATAGTTTAGGGTTTTTTAAAAGATTTTATTTATTTATTCATGAGAGACAGAGAGAGAGAGAGAGGGAGGCAGAGACACAGGCAGAGGGAGAAGCAGGCTCCATGCTGGGAGCCTGACGTGGGACTCGATCCCGGGTCTCCAAGATCAGGCCCTGGGCTGAAGGCAGCGCTAAACCGCTGAGCCATCCAGGCTGCCCTAGTTTAGGGATTTAGAGGAACTTGAATTTTTTATCCATTTGGGAGGATATTGATAATCAAAGGCAGAGGACTAGAGTCTGAGTTGGGTGTTACAGAAGACAGCAACAAAATCACTCCAGATGCTGTGTCTAAATTCACTTCATCTGAAGCATTGATCGCATAAGCTAGTTCATTCGTTTGCTTCCTAACATTGGGTGTTTGCTTTGTTTTGTTTGAAGTCCCTTCTGATATTACTTGGTTTTGCTTTTCAGACGCTGATCTGCACATTACAACTCACGAAGAGAAACACAGAGTTCCCATCTTCCCAGACAGAGTGGTAAGTCAATATTAAAATATTCTTTGCAAAAATAAATAAAAATAATATCTTTGCATAGTCAGGATATATTAAATTAACCAAGAGTTGCCAGGTTCAAGACTAGAAAATATGGGCTCCATTCAGACTGTTGAGCAGAGAGAGGGAAGATGTGAGCTACCACCGGTGGCAATGGCAGTATCGAATGTAAGTTCAAATATCACATCATTTGATCATTTTATATTGTTGTACTTAATAACCGGGCCTTTTCTAAACTGTAAGCACATAGTCACCGAAAAATGGGTGCACGTGGGAGACTTCCAAGACCACCTCGTGTGAGTATCCGGGTGAAGGATGGGACTCCACAGGGCACAAGCAGAAAATAACCTAATTCTTTCCATCCACTATCCCTTCAAGGCCACTTGGTGGACTCTCCCTGAGATTGCTCTCAGATGCTCTCCAGTTGCTCTCAGATGAGCCAAAATGTCCTGATTACTAGTAGTCATGAGAAGAACCTCTAAATTGTCCCATCCAATGTTATAATCATACGACTCCAAACATCCTTCCAAGTTACAACTCCACATAGCTCAGGTGTACATCGGCTGGCAGCCTGCTTTGCAGGGAGGGCCATGGAGAAGCTGAGATTCCTGACTTTTTTGTGGTTGGGGCCCAGAAAGGGGGGGGGGTCTAATGAAAAACAGTCATTTGTGGCTGATCTCATCATGATTCTGGCAGGGGTGGCTTCTGGGTGAGACAGTTTTCCAATGCTGATTCTTTAGCTTATGGGAAGTTTTTGTGGGTTTGCCACTAGAGTGCAGATCCAAATGTAGTTTTATAACAGAGGGGTTGTCTTGATCCTCAGCTCTTGGGTTTCTAGTCCTCACATTTCTGCTGGGTCAATTCACCCATCTTGGACAGAGTTCCTTTTGAGATGGCTCCCAGAACCTTCTCCCAAGGGTGGAGTTGGCCGACAGGAAAACAAACAAAACCTTGACTTCTCTGGCTAATAAAACTGTATGCGGCTCACTCTCACAGTACAGGCTGCTGCTCTGCTTTTGTTCTGCTCTCCTGGGTTTGCAGCCAGAGCCTCCTGCATTTAAGGCTTCCCAGGCAGGTATCAGCTTCCTCAAATCCCAGGGCACACATAAAGTGGCCTCCCAGTGATTCTTTAGAAGCTCTCCTAAAAGTTAAGGAGTGTCTCTACCCATCCACTAGCTCTATGGTTGTCTTGGGTATTTATTTTCAGCTGCGTACATTCACGTATACCTCTCTCTTTCTAAGTAAAAACCATATAATCTTTGTGAACCGACATGAAGGACAAAAAGAAATCCTTTATTAGAGTAGGTTAAATTGGGTCTCCCAAATTTCATGTTCTCACCAGAACCTCAAAATGTGACCTTAAAAAAATGTGACCTTATTTGGAAACAGGTTTTTGCAGATGTAATTAATTAAGGACTAAGATGAGATCATACTGGATTAGGATGTGTCCTTACAAGGCGAGGAGAGGACACAGGGAGATACACAGAGAAGAAGGCCGCTTCAGGACCTAGGCAGACCAAAAACCAAATAATCCAGTTAAGAAATGTGCAGAAGACATGAACAGACACTTTTCCAAAGAAGACATCCAGATGGCTAACAGACACATGGAAGATGCTCAACATCACTCATCATCAGGGAAATACAAATCAAAACCACAGTGAGATACTCTCTCATACCTGTCAGAACGGCTAAAATTAACAACAGGAAACAACAGGTGTTGGCAAGGATGTGGAGAAAGGGGAACCCTCTCGCGCTGTTGATGGGAAGGCAAACTGATGCAACCACTCTGGAGAACAGAATGGAGGGTCCTCAAAAAGTTAAAAATAGAGCTACCCTATGATCCAGCAGTTGCACTACTAGTTATTTACCCAGAGGATACAAAAATACAGATCCGAAGGGGTGCATGCACCCCGATGTTTATAGCAGTGTTATCAACAGTAGGCAAACTATGGAGAGAGCCCGAATGTCCCTTGACTGATGAATGGATAAAGAAGATGTGGTATAATGTATACAATGGAACATTATTCAGCCAACAAAAGGAATGAAATCTTGCCATTCGTAGTGATGTGGACGGAGCTAGAGTGTATTATGCTAAGTGAAATAGGTCAGTGAGAGAAAGATAAATACCATATGATCTCACTCATGTGGAGTTTAAGAAAGAAAACAGATGAAAATATGGGAAGGGGGGAAAGAAAAAAGGAGAGACAGAAACAAGCCATAAGAGACTCTTAAGGATAGAGAACAAGCTGAGAGTTGATGGAGGGAGGGGGTGGGGGATGGGCTAAATGGGGGATGGGGAAGAAGGAGGGCACTTGTGATGAGCGCTGGGAGTTGTATGTAAGTGATGAATCACTGAATTCCACTCTAGAAACCAATATTGCACTGTATGTTCAATAACTAACATTTAAAATAAATAAATAAATAAATAAATAAATAAATAAATAAATAAAGACGTAGGCAGAGATTTGAGTTATGCTGCCACAAGCCAAAGAATGCTAGAACCACCAGAAGTTGGAAGAGGCAAACAAATATTCTCCCACAGAGCTTTTAAAGGGAGCACAGGGATCCCTGGGTGGCGCAGCGGTTTGGCGCCTGCCTTTGGCCCAGGGCGCGATCCTGGAGACCCGGGATCGAATCCCATGTCGGGCTCCCGGTGCATGGAGCCTGCTTCTCCCTCTGCCTATGTCTCTGCCTTGTCTCTGCCTCTCTCTCTCTCTGTATGACTATCATAAATAAATAATTTAAAAAAATAAAGGGAGCACAGCCACAGTGAAGTCTTGATTTTGGACTTGGGGACTCCAGAACTATGAGAGAACAAATTGGATTTGTTGCAATCCACCAAATGTTATGGCAGCCCAAGGAAACTAATACAATTTTTAATATTTGAAGGTTTTATTTTGTTATCAGCAACATTGCTATTTTCCTTTGGGTACGTGCTCCAATAGCGACGCTTGAAAATGATGGCTTTATGAAACACCTAAGGGCAATGTTCAGAATAAGCAAATTTACAGGGACAAAAGGTTGATTAGTGGTTTCCCAGGGCCAAGACGGGAATGGGTGACGGTTGACGGTCACAGGAACCTTACGGGAGTAATGGCAATGTGCTCAGACTGGATTGTGGTGATGGTTGCCCAACTTGATAAATTTATCAGACTTCGCTGAATTCTACACTGACAAAGGGTCAATTTTATGGTACGCAAATTATAGTCCAATAAAATTTGTTTTAAGTAAATCTGCGCGCAGAGGATAATATAGGAGCCAGAAACCATTGCATCTAATCTCTGGCAAGGAATTCTTTGGGAAATGTGCTGAAAATTATCAGTCAGGCAAATCAGTGGCTGAGGGTTCCTAAGGCTGTTTTGATTGTAAGCTGCCCTAAGGGATCAGGGATCAGAGTATCATGAAAACATGTTTTCCTTTGTTTTGCTTTTTTACCAGAACATTCAGTAGAGGACTTACTTTGCGGAGCTGAGGAAATTTAAAAATCCACTTTCTAGCCGTTCCGTTCAGATTTCCGTTTAGGGAACTTTCCACAGCATTTATTTCTGGACAGAACCACCGCATAGCTCACAAATAGCAGTGTCCTGCATAACGAAAATTTCCAGGACATCAATCCCTGCAAAAAAGTAAAACTACAAGCATGAAAAGTTAAATTCAGAGCTTATATATTTTTACAGGAATTTTTAATAGAAGTATAACATGCACTTAGGAAAATATACGAGCCCTAAGTGTTCAGCTTGATGACTTTTCGCAAACTGAACATGTCGGTATAACTCTCACTCAAATCAAGAAACAGAACATCAAAAGAAGAAAGAAAGAAAGAAGAAGAAAGAAGAAAGAAAGAAAGAAAGAAAGAAAGAAAGAAAGAAAGAAAGAAAGAAAGAGAGAACAGAGAACATCACAGAAGCCCAGGGGTACTACATCCCGCTGAGGGCAATCACTAGCCTGACTTATACCATCGAAGATTACTTGCTCGATATTGGCCTTTAGAAAAATGGAATCATAAGGTATATAGTCATTTATCATCTGACTTCCTATGAGATTGACCCACACTTCAGTGTGTGGTTGTCGTTTACTCCCATCGCCGTGTAGAAGGATTCTACTGGGTGACTATACCACTGTATCCGTTCTGTTGCTGCTGTGACAAATTGCCACAAATTTAGTGACTCAAAGCAACACAGATCCATTCTCTTGAAGTTCTCAAGGTCAGAAGTCTAATATAAAATGGGTCCACGCGGACCCTTCCTTCTGGAGGCTTTGGGGGGGGGGGAATCTATCTCCTTGCCTTCTCTAGTTTCTAGAAGCAACTTATATTCTTTGGTTTCTGGCCGCCTCCTCTATCTTCAGAGCCAAAAGCATAGCACCTTACGTTTAGTATAAAATATGTTTCTTATTTTATCCTTTAAGTGGGCATTTAGGTCGTTTCTAGTTTGTATCCAATTGAAATAATTCTGCTATGAACATCCTTTTACATGTCTTTTGATTTCACTGTTGAGTGTGCGTGTAGACTTTCTGGACCATAGGCTACGTGCACGCCCAACTTTAGTAGATTCTGGGAACAGCTCTTCAGTGTGGTTATAGACTCCCTACTCCCACCGGTGAAGTGTGAGAGCTCTAGTTGCTCCAGATCTTTGCCAATACTTAGTATTGATTTCCCTTGATGCCTGTGTCTTTCTTTTCGTTTCTTTTTTCTTTATTTCTCTTTCCTTTCCTTTCCTTCCTTCCTTCCTTCGAGCTGATGCACTTGGCCTGTCAGCTCCCAGTAGGTGAATCTGTGCCTCACTGTGATATATTAAAATAAAATCTCTTGTCCTCCAAAGCTGAAGATTCCTCGAGCAGTTCCTATTTTCAAAATGAATGAACCATCTTCGAGCACCACCGTGGCCCCGTATGACAGCGACTCAAAGAAAAACTACGGCTCCCAGCTAAATGCCAACATGCAGCATTTTCCAAGAGAAGACTGCCCTGACTGGTGGCAAGTAGGAAAACCGAAAAGGTAAACTTCGACTTTGAGTCGGGCTGCCCCGCACGTGGGGAGGCATCCCCCACCCCCTGACCTTGGACCTCAGCCTCCGGGCTGTCCACGCAGCCGCAGCTGACACAGGGCTGTCCCCTCAGAAAAGCCTCAGTGCCTGAGCCAGGAGCCCGGGCAAGCAGCGGCCCCCCTGGGACTCAACAGCACGGACTTGCCATTTAGATGATGTGCTCTGTGATCTTGCGCATCTAATTCCCACCTCTTTCTCTCCCCCTTGCCCCCTAATAACCCTACATGCTAGAGCTCAGAAGCTTTAATATATCTCCTTCACCTGAGACTATTTGGGGGGGGAGGGGCTTACTTTTGTACCGAGCTTACAGGTGACAAGTAACCCTCCCAGCGAGGCCTCGGCTGCCTTCTCAGGATGGGCTCCTTCACCTCTCCCGACATGATCAGTTTTCTCACGTTTTTTTTTTAAGCCAAAAGATGCTGCCGAAAGCCAGAATCAAAACTACCTTGAAGGCAGGACCTAAACTGTGTATCTCTCCAGGGTCTGGGGCCGGCTTGGCCCCGTGCCTGATGCTCACCAGAGATTGAGCTGAATCGCAAGATGACAACAGAGGAAGGGACAAGTGACTATCCTTCCTTATTCGCTGCCCCAGACTTCCTCCCCATCCCCTTGTTCACTGTCTGACATCTCCTCACTCGGGGCACTGGGCCTGGGGGGGCTGTCTTTTCCCCCAGTGGATGCAGAGCATCTCTCTGACTCCCCCAGTCATCCCCTTTCTTTGTTTTGTTCTTTCCATCCTCATCGTTTTTACCTAAAGCAAATGCCTCACTGTACCGAGGATACAGCCACGGGGCCACACAGAACTTGAAAGAGTGTTAAGTGTATTCTTGTTGTTGCTTCCGGCATAACAAATTGTGGCACTTTTCATTTCAAAGTGGAGCTAGAATCCAAGTATTAATCTATACCTGGTGCCTGGGGGGACATGTCACAATTATTTGCCTGCCAATCCAGTGTTCTTGTGGAAGGAGACCCTTAATAGATGCAGGTCCTAGGATTGGTGTCATGCCAGCTTTGTGTCAGGTCCCCTTCCTACCGGAAGCCCCAGGGAGTCATTGACAAAAATGCACGGCGATTGCTAGATCCTGTCTTTATTGAAAATGTTGACTTTTTTTCATCATGGGTTTTTTGCATTAATTTTTACAGAAAAAAATCTCATTACAACGTTATTTACCTTGACCACTGAGTTTTTCTGACGCCCCTCCTTAGATTTTGCACCCAAGATTCAGTCCCAACTTTGGATTTTCCCCTAGAACTCGAGAAAGCTAGTTATCTGAACAAAAGAATTGATGAATCACTTCTTAGCATGAGTAGCATTACGTCAGTGAGTGATGATAATTGCTAAAAGGTCTTTGTGGATTGAATTTTTAAAACACAGTCGTGATTCTCAGCTCACGTAAGTAAATAATACTTCTTATTAATTATCCTCACTTGAGGTGCTTTGTAATTCTTTTTCTGAGTAGGAAAATGATGCATGCTTCCATTAAAGCATTCAAATATTGCAGAATATTCAGGGTACGTTCTTCTAGAATGTTTCCTATGCACATGCTACCATGTATAGAGAATGAAAAAGTCAGATTCTCACCACGTAGTCTTCTGCGCCACTCGCTCCCTTTACTTCACATCTTGGATATTTTTTTTCCCATTTAAACGCACGAGGAGGACACACTTAAGTTTTAGTGTGAACAAATATTGAGTGGTGGTAAAACATAACATACGTCTTGCCATCAGTCATTTTTAAATGTAGAGTTCAGAGGTGTTAGGTACCTTCACACTGTTGGGCAAGCTCCTCAGTTATTTTTTTAAGATTTTATTTATTTATTCATGAGAGACAGAGGGAGAGGCAGAGACACGGGCAGAGGGAGAAGCAGGCTGTTTGCGGGGAGCCCGATGTGGGACTCGATCTCGGGACTCCAGGATCACGTCCTGGGCTGAAGGCAGGCGCTAAACCGCTGAGCCACCCAGGGATCCCATGGTTATTTTGAATGTCTACGCAGTGTCCCATTATGTGGCTAAACCTAAGAGATGCACTCTGGAAGGACAGTCTCTGCCTTCTTTAAAGACAACACAAAGGCTAAGTAGACTGCTTAGCATTTTAAAATACGAGTTTTCTTATGAAAAGATGAAGCAAAAAAAGCCATGCTAGGAGTGAGTGAGGTTCCTTGGAAGGCACTGCAGTGTTGAGGGCTTTCTCAGGGCATTCCTTGAAATGGAGCCAGAGAAGCATTTCCTTGTTAGGGAAGCTTGTCACTATGAAGGGTGGTTTTGAAAAAGATCCTGAGATATGAAGGCAAGCAGGAAATAGGCCCTCCATTCCAAACAAAACAGCCTTTGGACTTGGAGAGGTAGGCCCTTCCTCACGTTCTGGTTGGCACCCAAAACGGAAGAGGGAAAATGACGGGTGGCAGAGGGGTGATGAAGATCCTGCGGATCCATCGGCGTCCACATGGAGTTAAAAGTTCAGTATTTTCCAGACTTTTATTTATTTTTTTTCCCGGACTTTTAATTGCAACAGCCACAAGGAAAAGAACATGTTAAAATATATAAGTGACCGGATGCTTGCATATCGACCAGAGAATCAGGGCAAATCCGGTGGAGATGATCTACTAATCCCACGTTGCTATTCACAGGTCTCTTGTTTAGGAACACGGACAAGCTACCACTTGTCATCGGGGTCCCTGCCAGGATGAAAATGCAAAAATAACTCATTAGCTTGAATTCCCAAACCAAGTGAAATGTGCCGGTCAAAATGTTCAATGAAGCTAAAAGATATCTAACACAACTATTTTTGTCCTTGAACATTTACAAATAATCAGAAGCTTACAAAATGTATCTTTTGTCATAGCAGTGACGATTTCGGGGGCAGTAACCAGAGGGAAAGGACTGGTGTCAATCACAGCACCTCAAAGATGTCATGGTAAGTCAATGCACACTCCTTTATGGCTAGGGTTTGCTTCCATTTGCAGGAAAACTAACCAAATTTGCAATCATTTTGCAACCAGACTTCACGTTTAAGGTGAAGGCAAGCCAAAACAATTCATGTAGTTGGCCTCTCTGATCCCTTCAGTTGATCTGAATCGATGACTCGTGGGTTACAGTTTTCTTCACGGTGATAGTTCCCGTCCATCATTCACGACATGCACCGGTGTTAGCATGAACAGGAGCATACCTGGCTCAGCCTCTCTAGCAGGAGGAAAACCCACCGAGAGTCCAGTACCTCTTCTCTAAGAATTGCTCTATACCCAAGCCGAATTCTTTTTGAACCTCATACTAGAGCTGCTCCCGAAAGCACTCATCTATTTCATGAGCCTGCTCTTCCAAAAGAGTCAAACAAATCCGTGTTCCTGGGGGCCTCCTGTAGCAAAGAGCCATTTTCTCATTAAACCGGGCACGAACTCAACTTGTGAGTCATTCTCTCTTCACTTTGCAGATACCCTCCCAAGTGCAAAGAGGGAACCCTGACAGTCTAAATTTTATTTACAGGGGTGAAAGCAGGGTGGGATTTTTGACATTGCACCGCCAGGTGATTGCATTATTTCTTGGTGGTGGTTTGCATTCGTATCATTTCCTCTCTTCTTAAGGGGATTTCCTGAGTCCAGTTCATCTGAAGAAGAGGAAAACCTGGAAGACTATGAGTGAGTTTGAAAGTCCTCTGTGTTCCTCTAAAACTAACATAGATGCTTCTATTCCATTCTTCCCTGGAGGCATTAGAGCAGATGTCTCAGACTTGCCCGGGAGGCTGTATTTACATGGGTAAAGTCATGTGAGCTTCTGGGCCATTTGTCTGGATGACGGGTTGTTACTAAGGGAAATGTTTTTCTTCAATCTGGATTATCTAAGTTGGCTGTACATATTCACTGGATTTATCATATACCTGGTGTCCCCTTCACTTCACTTTGTCTTCATGGATCAGCATATGACATTTCTGCCAATTATTTCTTCCCAGGAGGTTTCTAACCAGGGTGATGTTTGAAGGCTCTTCTTAGCACCAAGTCCCATTTTTGAAGTTATTCATGATGCAGTCAACAAGGTAGCACAACTGAGACTTGAATGTGACAATATTTATATTGAGAGAGTCCTATTTCTAGGGTGACCTCATCATTTAGCATCCAGATTAGGACATTTGACACAGAGAGAGACTGAGCGAGAGAGAGAGAGAGAGCGCTATTAAATATTGCACCTGGACACCAGGCATAAACTAGACTCTTCTGGGTGAATAGAAATGTATGATCACCCTAACTGTACTGGGACAGGTTAGCCTGAGGAGCCCTTAAGGTCTTTTCCAAAATCTAAGACTGTCTCCTTCTACAAATAGGGACAAATAAGTCTCCTGAACTTTATTTAAAATTGGCACTCCTTAGAGGTGGGAGTGATGCGTCTCCCGGACACCTGCTCCCCGGTGGTGGCCAACTCTCTTGAACACCAGGATTACACATATTTTCAGTTCTGTGTTTGTATGAGCGCTGTCACTGATATATTGCCTCTAGGTACAGTGAGAGGTTTTATAAGTACATGTCACTGTTTTGCCTCTTGGGTTTACCTCTAACCCAGCTCGGCCCTAGGCGTTGGTGCCACGTTACGGAAGACGTGATGTATGCCCCACCTCTCTATTAGCATGGCCTTTTCACCGCCTTCTAGCACTTGATCCCTACCTTCTGCCCCAACATCCACCTGCAGGAAAGCCTCTGATGGAATAATTCAAACTAAGACATAAAAGACTGAGAAACACCAGCATAAAAATGATCCAAAGATAATAGCGCTTTGACGGATGACAAAGACTTAAACCCATGGGAGTGAACTTCGAATTGTACATGTCAGCCTTTAGCATTTTGATGAGTTAGAAGTCTTTCTTTGGTTTGGAAAGCCCAGATCTGACCACATGGAGAGTCTCTATCTCCAGCATTTCTAAATTCAAATGGTGCATGAGAGGTGTGCTTTGGGGAAATGATCAAGAGAGACCTACTCTCTTCAAAGTCAAAGAGATGCCTAAGGACAATCAGAAGCTGAGGTCTGTGTGACCCGGGACTCAGCCTCTCACACTGTGCTTGGTGGCCCTGGCTTCTTCCTTTATCGGGGGCACTGAAGCATTTCTTTGGTGGCCAGAACTCCACAGGCAATTCTACTCTTGCTCTCTTGAAGGCTGAGGCACGGAAGCTTCGATGGAAAGTCATATCTTAGGACCAGGCTTAAGGCTCAGCTGCTCGGGCACTGATGAGCTGAAATCTTTTTTAAAACAGAGCCAGACCTCAGCAAAATTATGACACGAGCAAAGTGTGTGTGTGTGTGTGGGGGGCGCTTATTCACAATCTCACCTTGCTTCTCCAGGCCTCTCTCCTGATCCCCAATCATCTCTTTCTCCTATCTCCCATAGGCATGTATCCTGGATCACATTCCCCGAGGAATCTTTGGATTAGCTATGATTAGCTTAAAATATTAACTAAGAAGAAAATGATCAGTTCATACCTCAAGGATTAATTATAGTATCTGTATGGGTAGAATTAGAAGAGACTTTTAAACTTATCAAATTCAACTCTCATCCTCATTTTGTAAATGGGTAATTCCAAGGTCAAAAGAGGCTAAGTGGCTTGTCCAAAGCTGTACAACTACTTATTAGGAAGTTATGTCTAGATTCCAGACCTCCAGGCTGACTGGTGGCTCTTTCTACCTCACTGGCCTGCCCAGCAGCTGACACCACCCCACCCCCCACCCCCCGCCACGTCCCACCTAACACATTCTCACCCTCGGGTTCTTCTTTCCTCCTCGGATATTATTCTCTAGCCAGAGGGTCCTTGTAAGCCCCCAAACCCATGCTCCATCCCCCCTCACACCCTGTTCATTTCCCTAGTGTGACATTCTGGCCAAAACCAAAAGACTACACACATTGTTGATCTCACATGAGAAACAACTCTGTGGCCTGCTGAGCTCTACATACAAAGTAAGATGTTATGCTCTCAGCTAACGTAGTAAAAAAGGCAATACTTAAAGATTACACCTGGTGGCACCTGGGGGGCTCAGTTGGTTAAGCGTCTGCCTTCAGCTCAGGTCGTGATCTCGGGGTCCTGGGATCCAGCCCTGTGTTGGGCTCCCTGCTCAGTAGGGAGTCTGCTTTTCCCTTTGCCTTTGTGCTTGCTCTCTCGCTCTCTCTCTCCCCCCCCCTCTCAAGTAAATGAATAAAATCTTTTTTTAATTTATTTATTCATGAGAGACACACAGAGAGAGGCAGGGAGCCCAACGTGGGACTCAATCCCGGGTCTCCAGGATCAGGCCCTGGTCTGAAGGCGGCACTAAACCGCTGAGCCACCCGGGCTGCCCAAATCTTTAAAAAAAGAAAATATTACACCTGGCTGTCCCATGCCATCTCTTTCTCAGGTGGCTTAATATTACTGGCTTAATATAACCACAGAGGCTTATCTACTGCAAATCAAAAACATTTGTTAGAAAAACATTTGCTTTGAAACTAGATGCTATAAAGTGTCCTTCTATCAGATTATTAAAAGAAAAATATAGGGTTGAAAGACAGGAACTAAAAAAAAAAAAGGAAAAAAAAGACAGGAACTCTCATCTATGGCAACCCCAGCTTTCCCAGTGGACCATTCTTCATTGGTCTAATCTCTGGCTCTCCCTCCAAACAGTGGCACATAGAATTTAGGCACCTGCTGGAAGGAGGCCAAAGGTTCTTAAGTGCCAGCCTGTGTGAAAACACAGAGACACAGGCCCTACCCCAGAATCATGCTCAGGTGGTGGAGACTCAGGAATCCGTATTTTTGAAGAGCCCCCTGGGGGGATTCTCCGGGGCGGTGAGGTGTGGAAATCCCCGATGGAGGCCGATGCCTCCGGATTAGAAAGCTGGGTGATGAGTCACCCTCGACTGGCAAACATGCAATTCTTTCTCGTTGCAGCTGGTTTGCAGGTAACATCTCCAGGTCACAGTCTGAGCAGTTACTGAGACAAAAGGTAAGTCACCTGGTCTTCAACGCAGCCTCTGAGAACCTGTCGCCGGGCGCAGAGGGCACGGGGCTTACTTCTGGCGGAGACCCCCCGGGTGTCCTCAGGGCGTCAGGCGTCCAGCCCCTGGCTTACAGGCCCTGCGCACGCACGTAGCCACTTCCTCTGGCTTTCCTTATCTCCTGCTGGGTCGTCAGCCACTTCCACATCTAGCGGTTTGAAACAAGATTTATGGTTTCTCACCAGTGTGCCAAGCGGGTGCCTCCGTTCCGCCCGTGGGGCTGGCGTGGGCCTCCTCACGGCGTGGTGAGCCCAGGCAGCGGGACACGGCGCAAGGCCTGCAGGTCGCTCCACGCACTTAACATTTCTGCTTTTGTCCTGCCTGCTAACATCCTACGAGCCAGAGCAAGCCCCGAGGCCCAGCCCGGACTCAGTGGGGGGGATGGCACAGGGCAAGAACAGAGGCATGATTTCTGGGGGGCCGGGGGGGGGACATCCTTGTAACAGTCCAGCTCCACCGGCCCTGCTCAGTAGCACCTAAAGCGGAGTCCAGAGGCTGTAACAGGGCCTAGATTTTGTTACTAAATTGGCACAGAATTACCAGAAGGAAACTCTTTCCAACCTGCAAAACTGGTGCTTTGATATAGTTCGACCTAATAAAGCACGCCAGTGGGTTTCTTTGAGGGGTACTCGTGAGAATGCGATGACGCCACCCCCTAACTCTGAATCTTGTCACATTGTCACGTGCCTATGGGTCTGCCTCTCCCGATTCTGGATCTGCTTGGAATTAGCCCAAGTCATTAAGAAAGACAAGCTGAGCATGGAACTCTAACAAATGATTTGTTCTGCACCTTTGGTTTTCTAATGCCTTCTCGGGTATTATATTCCACGGCGGTGGGTGGTTTTAAATGTTATTTCTGCAAGATTAAAACATCAGGCTTGCACAAACACCAAGCAGAGCAAACCATCGGGGAGGGTTAGAAGCTAAGTGGGGAGGGAGAGTCGAGGCACACGGGGTAGGTCTCTAAAGGAAGAGAGCGAGCAGAGGAGGAAAGCTGCCCCGTGGGTCCCCTTCTGTGCCAGCTGTTGGGTGACCTGGGCCGTCAGTGACGTTCCAAGTGGGTCTGAAAGATCCACTTCCCTACCACCTACCAGGAAAAATAGTTTTCAAGAATAACGAAAAGGTTTTCTGTTCCTTCCCCTCTTTTCTTTCCTTTCCAGGGAAAAGAAGGTGCGTTTATGGTCCGAAATTCCCGCCAGGTGGGAATGTACACAGTGTCTTTATTTAGCAAGGCTATGAAGTGAGTATCACACGGATTTCCTTCTCATCTCTTGTGCATGTTCTCTGCATATGCTGGCCATCGAGTCCCATTTGGGGATAAGACACCATCTTCAACCTCTGGCATCGTGGATCAAAGTATTTCTATTGAATGCAACTGTTTGTAGTTGCCTTGTCCACTCGGCCTCTACTCTGAGAGCTTGTTCCCTGGGGGAGTCGGGTCCTCTTCTGCACATCCCGGGCAGCAGGGGGGTGCACCGCCCGCCTCAGTACACACCTGTTAAAGGAATCTCGGGCTGTTCCCCTGGACTCGGTCCTATGTCTAGAAAGAGAGAAAAAGAGCAACGGAGCCTGTCCACTCTTGGCCTTAGCCACCTGCTGAGCTGAGAAACCCACCCCAGGCTCTGGTTTTTTAGCCAGTGTCTCCAGTAGGGGACAGAGCTAGCAGAGAGTCGAATCAGTGTATCTGTGTTCCGCAGAAAGCTTCTTTCCGGGGTGCTGACTTCTCTTTGTGGTTAAGAGCTCTGGCTTGAAGCTGCACCTCGGGGTCCCACTCCCGACTCTACCATTTCAAGGCTCTATGTCCCCGACTTCTGTGCCTCGGCATCCCCCTCTGAAAAGGAAAAATAACAATGACGACTATGTTGTATGGATGAAGTGAGTTAATTCACGTGTTGGATCACAAGGGTGCCTGGCACAGAGTGAGCACTTCATGCATGAATAGCAGTTACTTTTATAGTTGTTGCTGTTTTAAAGATTTTATTTATTTATTCACAAGAGACACGGAGAGAGGCAGAGACACAGGCAGAAGCAGGCCCTGCAGTTTCAGCCAAACCTGATACCAGAAGTCTTCCAAGTCAAGATCCTTGACCCCAGATTTATTTTTGAAGGTGGCCAGGTAGAAAAAAAAGCAGCAAATAGCTAAGGAATCAAATGAAAATAATCCAAATTAATGAACACGGAAGCTTTCTTTTTATGAAACGTCATCCATGGGCTTGAATGAATTGCATGCTGAGACCAAGAGCAAAGTAGCCACTTGCAACAAGAAAGCACCCCTTTTCCTTTTTATAGTTGCAATTTTAACCAGGCTGGCATTACAGCAACAATTCATCAACAGTTTCTTTTGCGCCAAGCATAGTGCAAATTGCTATATATAAAATTGCATCTGATCTTCGTAACACCCAAATGAGGGTTGCCAACAAGCAGTGGAAGGGGATGCAAAGCCCAGCTTTTTTTTAAAGATTTTATTTATTTATTCATGAGAGACACAGAGAGAGAGAGAGGCAGAGGAGAAGCAGACTCCCTGCAGGGAGCCCGATGTGCGACTTTTTCCCCGGACTCTGGGGTCACGCCCGAGCCGAAGGCAGATGCTCAACCACTGAGCCACCCAGGAGTCCCAAAGCCCAGCTCTTGATTAGAGTACGGCTCTGATATCTAAGACAGGCGGGTGTATTATTCCTCATTAGCCCAAATCAATGTGCTTCAATTCACCACTATTTTCCAAAAGTAGAACAACAGGAAAAACGTGTTTTATGTGGAAAAGGTACAAGTTCATAAGAGGAATTAAAGGGTATCCCCACCCATTTCATCTTGCACGCACCACTCCCAAAAGAGCCTCCCACCCATGCTCTGGATGAGAACACCCACAGCCTAATCACCGTTGTCTACCACATTTTAATCTTCATTATTATCCTAAAAGAGAATTGGTGTTCAGAATAATGATCTTTAAGAACTGCAGGGCTCTCGATCATCAAAGGAAGATTCCAGAGAGGAACAGTGCAGAAAGTTGAGATTTTATTGTACATGAATTCTGTATGTGTACAAAAGATGCGTTGAGTTCAGAGAGGAGCTCTCTTCCGTAATTACCCATTGTCATGGATAGCTCTAGAAAAACATCTCATGTCCAGAAACCTTCTGACTTCCCTCTCCAAAATTTGCGAATGCATCTGAATGATCATTTAACCATTGTTTGATCAAACTTCAATTGATAATCAAAAATATTCTAGGGGCACCTGGGTGGCTCAGTCGGTTAAGGATCTACCTTCAGCTCAGGTCATGATCTCAGGGTCCTGGGATCGAGCCCCGCATCAGGCTTCCTGCTCAGCAGTGAGCCTGCTTCTCCCTCTGCCTCTGCCCCTCCTCTTCGATTGTGCGCTCTCTCTCCCTCTCTCAAAATAAATAAAATCTAAAAAAAAAAAACAAAACATTCTAACATTCTTTCTTCCTTACCAGTGATAAAAAAGGAACTGTCAAGCATTACCATGTGCATACGAATGCCGAGAACAAATTGTACCTGGCGGAAAACTACTGTTTTGATTCTATTCCCAAGCTTATTCACTATCATCAACACAATTCAGCAGGTAATTTTTTTCAGTTTTTCTTTTTATGGGTCCTTGTTGAGAAGTATCAATTTTCTCAGGTATCACTGATCCTCCTAATAGTCTTAATATTATTGAGAACCATGAAAATAGGAATAAAAATGCTCTCAAGTCACACACCTGCTGTGATTTTTAGCCTACATTTCCCTGGAATATGACACTCTGCACTCTAAAATGCCAGAAAAATGAAGTTGAGTAAGTTAGCGGCTTAGGAATGGAGATTCTCGTTATGAAAATATTTGCAGTCTTTTTCTGCCTAGAGAAATAAGTTGATTACAAAATTCAAACATTATAGAAACGTTTATCATTGGAGAGAGGACCCCGTAGACAAGTTGGGGTCTATTCCAACAGAATCTTTTGGTCTGCTGATACTAACACTTACTATTTATTATAGATATGAATGAGTTATATATGTGTATGTATGCACACTATGTTTTTGGGGGCTTTTTGGTTTATTTTTTTTTTACACATTATGTTTTTACAGAGATCAGATCCTTCCCCACACACACTGCTTTTTCAGCTTGCTTTCTCTGCTCAACATGTCTTAGTGGTCTTTCCATGCACATACATATCGCTCATGGTCTGTTTAACAGCTGCATAGAATTCTACAGTAGAATTACTCCGAAATGTGTTCACCCAACCCTGGATTGATTAGCGGTTGCATCGCATACAGTATTTTCACATCATGATCGATATTTCAATGTACAGGCCTATACACGTAGCTCTGTGCATCCATATGAGTGTTTCTGTAGCCAGATTCCCTACAAGTGGAATTTCTTTTTTCTTGTTGTTGTTGATAATTTATTTTTTTTTAGATTTTATTTATTTATTCTTGAGAGACACACAGAGAGAGAGACAGAGACACAGGCAGAGGGAGAAGCAGGCCCCACAGAGGGAGCCCGATGTGGGACCCGATCCCGGGACCCCAAGATCACGCCCCGGGCCAAAGGCAGGTGCCAAACCACTGAGCAACCCAGGGATCCCTGACTTGAGCGTTTAATGCAACTTAGTAATAGGTTCGATTTTTTATTTTTTTTTGTTTCGATTTTTTAAAATTGAGTGGTTTGCTTTTTATTTTGTGCCCTTCTGTACTATTTAGATTTTTTAACCAAATTATTGAGCTGTATGTATATGTATATAAATATAGGACTATAAAAAGCAGAACCAAAATGGGAAAACTATTTATTTATTTATTTATTTATTTATTTATTTTTAAAGATTTTATTTATTCATTCATGAGAGACACACAGAGAAAGAGAGAGAGGCAGAGACACAGGCAGAGGGAGAAGCAGGCCCCACGCAGGGAGCCCGATGCAGGATTCGATCCCGGGACCCCAGGATCACACCCCAGGCCAAAAGCAGGCGCCAAACCGCCAAGCCATCCAGGGATCCCCAGGAAAACTTTTTAAATGAAAGATTCCATCGAGTTACTTATTTGATGGGATTTTTAAAAATCACATAAAGATGTTTTACTCTTCTAATTTTTGCCTTACATTGAGCTAGTCAAGTCAAGCAAATCAATACAGCTACAGGATGAACATGGTCAGAATGGACCCGCTCTCTCCATCACGACATCCTGAACTCTGTACTTTTCCAGCTACTCTGGCGAGAGCACAAACAGAGGGGTGATGTAATGTGATGTGATACGATGTGATGATCTGGTGCTGATTCCATTGCAGGCATGATCACACGACTCCGCCACCCTGTGTCGACCAAGGCCAACAAGGTTCCCACCTCCGTGTCCTTGGGAAATGGTATGGACAAACACTTGGGCTCTTAAACTCCATTTCCCACCATTTCTGGTTTAAAATTTATATATTATATATATATATTATATATAAATTATAGTTTTATTATTATTATATATATAAATTTATATATATACACATATATATATTTGCCGTTGCCTGTCCTTTCTTCTTCTGGGATTCTGTGCCTATTCAGGGGAGGCAGTGTTCAACCTTGTGTATTTAGGATAATGACATCCGCCCAGATCACAGTTTAGTTTGCTTTATTAAAAAAACTCTAATGATTATTTTACCAAGCTAAGAGCATCGAGCACGCTTTCACACCAGGTATTTCCAAGCTGCCTCTAGTTGGCAAAGTACCCTAAGCCTTTTGTCAAGAACTCTGGCTGCTTCAAGAAGAGTATTGTCCTGTTGGCATTATCGTGTGGTCAGAGAGGTCATATAAGACTGCCTCACGAAGGGTTTTTTGAAGCGATCAACTTAAAATCAAAAGTCTTGCTGTTCTTCATATTGTCAATATGAAACTCACTGGAGAAGTCCCTTGGGAAGCTGTTAGCCCCAAAGCCTTCCATTCTCATCCTGAAGAGTGTCTATAATGCCTCATTAGGAATATGGGAACTGAAGAGAGAAGAGATTACCCTCCTGAAGGAGCTGGGGAGTGGTCAGTTTGGAGTAGTCCACCTGGGCAAGTGGAAGGGCCAGTATGATGTTGCCATTAAGATGATCAAGGAGGGCTCCATGTCCGAAGATGAATTCTTCCAGGAGGCTCAGACCATGATGTAAGTTTCTCCTGAGGAATGGCAGTTTGGCCCTTACCGTGGGGGTGGGGCATTCACGCTAACAGGCCTGTCCCCAACATTTGCAAGGCCTAGAGCAAGAGTCCACATACGGCAGGTATTACTTAGAAGCTGTAAAGCAAGCTGACACACTGGTGGATAAAATCAGTTCTATGCTCCTACTTTAACGGGTAGACCTCTGTACCAACCTCAGAGGCCATATTCCAGTTTAGAATTCCCAAGACTCTTGGGAAACCAGCCTCTGGCACATGTCAGCCCTCAACCACCCACTCTACCCCTCACCTTACTCTTCCCACCCCAGCTCTGCCCTGCACTGTACTCAGTACTCAAGTGCAGACATAGCATTCAGTACCGCCAAGCTCCCTCTGTGTCTCCAACAGACAGCTGTCTATCAGCTAAGGATCTTGGTTAGGGGTAGGCACACCAATAGCATGGTTCACTCTTAGGGGGACTGGCCCAGGACGAGTCCACACAGTCCTGGAAGAGGCCTCAGGACTCCGTGGACAGGGGATTCCAGAGTCCTGGTACCCTAAGGGTGATCAAGAAAAAGGGATGCATGGGTGCTGAGTAGGTATGCCCTGGCCCTTCGGGGAGGTGCGTGGTGGGATGAGGAACAGAGTGGGGCTGTGGAAAGTACATGCCCAAGGGCAGGAGCCTCTAGGGGCCAGAACTAAGGCAAGATTGAAAACTAATGCCCTATGGACAATATCCTTCTCCTTCCTGGAACCAGTCTCACAGAACCCCTTTCTCACCCTACTTCCTTCCTCACCGGATAAATGAAGATGCACTTCCTAACGGGCCTTAGCTCCAAACAGATGTGTTCTTTTTCTCTTTGAACTGGCTCGCTCGAATGTTGTCTCTCTATCTCTATCTCTATCTCTCCCCCTCCCGCCCCCTGCTCTTACACGGAGCACCCAGGTGTGCCTGAGACTCTTCTGCTCTAGCACGGAAAGGCCTGTGATCCAGGAACCCCTCAGTCCCAGGCAAACTGGGACAGCTGGTCATCCTGCCTTTAGGGAACTGATCAACATGATACGAAGAGCAATGCCACAGCAGGATTTTGATCAAAGACAGTTGAGATCACGAAGCCTAGCCTGCTGCAGAGTAAGGGCCCTTTAAAAAAATTTTAAACACTTATGTGGCATTTACAGGCATCTCTCTGAGCACTTTATAAATATCAATGCATTCAGCCCTCCTAAGAAGCCTGCGACGGATGTACCATTGTTATCTTTGTATTATAGGAAGCTGAAGCACAGAAATGTTAAATAATGGGTCCAAGGTCACCATGCTAGTAAAAGTGGCAGAGCAGAGATGCAAACCCAGGCAGATATTCCAGTGTCCACTTCCTTAGTCATTCTCTCATGAAGACCAAAGGTACCAGGACAGTCAGAACTATCACTTTGACCATAATTGCAGAACTGTCTGGAAGCAGAGGTACCATGTGTAGATAGCCTTTGGCAAGGGCTGGCTTCACGGGCCACCTGCACCACCTTGAGGGCTGCCACATTTAGAAGGGCTCTGCACTTGGTTTACTGCTGTGATGTCCCCATCTTGAGATTCTCTATTTTTTTGAAGATTTATTTATTTGAGAGAGAGAGAGAGCATTTGAGTGGGGGGAGGGACAGAGAGAAAGGGAGAGAGAATCCTAAGCAGACTCCCTGCTGAGCGTGGAGCCCGACACAAGGTTCAATCTCATGACTCTGAGCTGAAATCAAGTCAGACACTCACTGACTGAGCCACCCTGACCCCACACCATTTTGAAATTCTGAATAATCCTTAAATAAATATTTTCATTTCATACCTGGTCCCTACAAATTATGTAGCCTGTCCTGCCTTTGGCAATTATACTGTCTTAAAACTGGGGAGGAGGCCTGTGATGTCCTCCTTTTGTAGGACAGAAAAATCTAGGGGAAACTCCTTTAGGTTTATAGTGTAACCCGTGTCATGGTGTACCTTTAAAACATAGTTTTTGCTACTAGATGGCTGGTAATCACGCAGAATCATGAAAAGTCATTAACAAATCACCTAGTCATAAAGAAGGAGGTCAAACTGTACCTGAAGAGGACAATGCTACCGCTCAGCTGATGGCCAATTTGAGGCCTATCGTGCGGGCAGTATCAGTTGCCATGGTGTCCCACCATGGGGCCCCTGGTCAGTGACTGAATTTGTTCACAGAACAGCTTTTATTGGGTGAGGGACCTTTGTCCCACCACTAGCCGCCCCCCCCCCCCGTAGGGAGCAATGCTGAGTTCCAGGTCGTTCTCTAAAAGAGCTGAAAGGAGGCATGACAGAGCTCATAGATAGCCTTGAGCAACCTGATAAGGCATGTCCCTAAACCAAGAAGGAAGAAAATAACTACTTAAATAGTTATAACTGGGGCACCTGGGTGGCTCAGTGGATGAGCATCTACCTTTGGCTCAGGTCGTGATCCCGGGGTCCTGGGATCTAGTGCTGCATCAGGCTCCCTGCATGGGGCCTGCTTCCCCTTCTGCCTGTGTCTCGGCCTCTCTCTCTGTGTCTCTCATGAAAAAAATAAATAAAATCTTTAAAAAAAACAAAAAATAATAAACAGTTGTAACTATAGAGAATATTTAATAAATGCTCATAAAAAAAATTCTAAAATCGACATGTTGGCTTTAGGTTTACTTTAAACACCTGAACATTAAAGAATTAGCCTGTACATTGATCAACTACATGGACAAGCGGATGAGCAGCGTAACAACTGAGCGTCTATATGTCATCACCTACCAGAAGGGCTATGTCATATCATTACTATTTTCTAAATTAATTATTGAAAGATAACGTGAGGTGCCTGGGTAGCTCAGTCGGTTAAGCGTGGGACCCGTGATTTCAGCTCAGGTCAGGATCTCGGGGTCATGGTATCAAGCCCCACATAGGCCTCCAAGTGGAGAGTTTGCTTGAGATTCTCTCTCATTCTCCCTGGGCCCCTTCCCCCACTTGTGTGTGCTCTTTCTCAAATAAATAAATCTTAAAAGAAAAAGAAAGATAATGTAACAATAATGTAAAACGAATTTAAAAAAAAAAAGAAAAGAAAGAAAACTCATGGCTAATCTCACTTCCCTAACATGGCAACTATTTTCATTTTTCCTGCACCCTTCACATTCTGATACAACTGTTTTTTGTTTTTTTTTTTTTTTTTGAGAATAAAAGTGCTTGGACTTCAAAACTTAGAAAGTTAAATGCTTTAGAGTGGAAGTGATTGCCCTCAGTGTGTGGCTCCCTCCACATCAGGCATGGAGGCTCTCTAGATGCCGGGAGACTCAATGAGATTTTTGAGGCAACAGACCCCTGTTCTGCTGGTTCTCTGTGGGAAAGGTGCACGGAGCACCCACAACTGCTAACTTGGTACTGGGGGTGTTGATGTCGTCTAAGAGGCAGATTTTTTTTTTTTTTTTGCTTTCAAAGGCTAATGCTCCCAGAATAAAATGCACAACGTTTTTCTCTCTTTCTTTGTTCAAGTAGAAGGGGGGGATTAAAACAAGCAAAAATGTGAGAGTGATTGTTTTTCAGAACATCTGGAAACCGGAGTGTGCAAATTCAGTAGTGAACTCTGCCAATCTGTCGTTTCCAGGAAACTCAGCCATCCGAAGCTGGTGAAATTCTATGGGGTGTGCTCCAAGAGATACCCCATATACATCGTGACCGAGTATATCACCAATGGCTGCTTGCTGAATTACCTGAAGAGTCACGGGAAGGGACTGGAGGCGTCCCAGCTCTTGGAAATGTGCTACGACGTGTGTGAAGGCATGGCCTTCCTGGAGAGCCACCAGTTCATACACAGGGACCTGGTAAGCAGAGCCGCTCAGGGCAAGCAAGCAGCGCAGCGTCCCCACCTGCAGTGACGGGGTCCTTGGGAAGGACATCAGGGGCGAGCGCTTCGCTCTTCCCGTGCCCACCTGTGACGTGCTCAAGCACATGACATTGTGTGATGAAAACCGCAATTGCAAAATAAGAGATTGGGAGGAGCGGCCGTCAGGACGCAGGTGGCCGTGTCCTGGTAGGAAGGAGAACAGGTGAAAGGGAAAGACTTTAGTCAGTGTCGGCGTCTCACCAGCATTAGGTGCCAGGTGGCCTTTGCCCCAGGAGGGCTCAGTGCTGGAGCGGCCTGGGAAACCCCAAAGGGGAAGGAGGCGACATCTGCGTGTGTCTTTGGCGGGGGGTGGGGGGGTGGGGGTGGGCAGGGCCTGGCTGGGTGGGAGCTGCTGTTTATCTTTAGGGGTCCCCTTGAGCTCCCGAAGGCAGGCTGCCATCCCGCCAGGCCAGGGCGGCGAAGGAACCTTCTGGAAATAACGCTTCCCTTCTTGCCCACGAGCTGAGGCTCTGTGTTTAACGCAACGTCCTTCGGGCCGTTTGGCCGGGTGGGTGCGTGCGTGAAGATACGCAGGGGAGCACGTCTTCGCCCCGAAAGCTGCAGAATTGCCAAGGAGAAAGTGCCTCAACATCTGGGGGGTGCGATTGGCAATGTCAGGTTCCGTGAGGACTCCGCCAGCGGGAAGGAAGACGCTGGATTCTGGTGTCCGGAGATTCCGGGCCACTCTGACCACGTGGGGATTCTGTTTTTCTTCCAAAGGCGGCTCGGAACTGCTTGGTAGACAGCGACCTCTCGGTGAAAGTGTCGGACTTCGGAATGACCAGGTAAGCCACCGGGCGGCGACGCGGTGACACGTGGTTGCCCACCAGTGTGAACTGAACCACAGGACTTCTTTGGAAATAAGGCCCACATGAGGCAAACGAAGATTGTACAACTAGCAGATGATTCATGAATCACATACATAATATACAAGCATATATAAATAGAAGTATATGAAATATATAGGACTATATATAAACATATAATTATATATATAATTTATATGCAAATTTTTGAGATATATATGATTATATATTTAGTTATATAATATAACTTATATTAAATTATAAAATAACTTTTATGATATATAATTATAATAATTATATGATTTTTATAATAATTTTTAATGATATATAATAATATAATTTTTTAGATTATAATAAAATTATATATAAATTTATATTTTTATATATATAATTTTTATATAGAATTTTATATATAATTATAAAGTATAAAATAAATACTGATAAATATAAATATCATAAAGTTTAAAATAAACACTAGTAAATAGTAATAAATATTCAGATGTAATGTGTTATAGCCAGATTATTGGCATAAACACATTTTTTATGTATGTATTTTAACTCAAGCAGGGTTCCTTCAGCCCTTTCTGTATACTTGTTAATATTCATTCAAATAGGCATAGCGCTAACACTAGGAAAGTTTTCATTGTCATGTCATTAACTATTCTGTATAACCAAGTAAGGCATGAAAGTAGACTTTGAGATTCTGTTAGTTGGCATTCTAGCACTTTATCATTTAGAGAAATTATTTTATGGTAACAGTTTAAAGACATCTTCCATTATCTTTATTATGGATCTTCAGAGGCACTTTTCCTGGTTTTACAGAGGAAACAAAGATGCACACGTTGGCCTTTCCATTCAGCATTTACCGGGCACCTACATAATGCCGAGGCCCCGTGGGAGATCCTGATATGGACGGCATAGTCCCTGCCCTCAGAATCATCAGCTTAGTCCAGAGGGCAAGTAGATGTCAACATTAAGACAAAATACAGCTAGAAAGTTGTGTCAATTCAACCTAAACTCACACAATTCTGAGGAGGAATAGTATAGCTTCAAAGAAGCCTGAAGAGTGGACTAAGCCTACCTCTATATTTAGTGTACCCAGCCCTAAAACACCGTAAGAGTATCTGTTTTTTTTTTTAAGTTCATTTATTTTTTTTAGTAAGCTCTACACCCAGTATGAGCCTCAAACTCACTACCCTGAGATCATGAGTCACATGCGCCTCCAGCTGAGCCAGCCAGGCGCTCCAGGAGGATCTGTTTTTGAAGTCTTCTCCAAAATTCAATACTGAGAAGTGCTTCTCTTCTGGGACACCTCAACATGGTCGAGATGTCCCATTAGCTGTGTGCTACTTGCCGTCCCCCCAGCCGCCGTACACTGAGCCTCCTACACCGATTCTCCAAATGTGTAGCTCTCCAAGTGTGAGAGAAAGCGCTGCGTACGGCTTCATAGGGCAAGGAGAAGCTCCTAGGACAGGGAAACTGATCCCCACCTGCTCTCATAGTGGGAATACTGGCTGGTATGCTGGCATCCAGGGAATATACTTGTCAAGTTCTTTGAGGCTGAGAAAAAGGGAGACATGAGGTCTTGCTCTGAATAAGGAATCCTGGAGGCCATGGAACAGGCCCTGTTGCTCATGAAGTCCTGTGCTGCCACCATTCAGAAGCCTGTGACTTCACTTGAGCCTGATGACTCAAAGGAAAGTTTAAGCCATGAGCAGAACCCAGTGCCAGGGGAGTTTCTGGGTGTCTTGTGGTGTCTAGAGTTGCTGAGGGGGTCTGGGAAGGGAAGTATGGAAGGTGCTTTATGTAATCCCGTGAAAGTGTACTTTATTATTGCTATTAGTATACCTATTCTATTCATAATATAGTCAAAAATTAAATATTAATATAGTATTCATATAATATTAATATTGTTAATATTTCAAAGAATGATTTTCAAAACCGGATTTTTCTGACATTTTAAATTACAGTATATACCTCTAACACATTTTCAGTGTGTATAGTTTTCCCATGAAGTACATCCAAAATTTCAGTTTCCATATCTTTCATTTTCCTTTTTTAAAAAAGAAATTATTCATTTTATTATTGTTCATTTTATTCATTTAAAAAAAGAAATTATTCACTTTTATTATTCGTTTTAGAGGGAGAGAGAGCCAGAGCGAGTGGGGGAAGGGCAGATGGAGAGGGAGAGAGAATCCCAAGTGGGCTCCCGCGGAGCACAGAGCCAGCTGTGGGGCTGGATCCCATCACCCTGAGATCATGACCTGAGCCGAAACCAGGAATTGGGCGCTTGACCAACTGAGCTACCAGGCGCCCCTCATTTTCCTTTTTTCTTAAGAGTCCTTATTTATTTGCTTTTTTCTAGGCAAATATATGAGGTTCCCCTCTATTAGTTATAGAACTAAGAGATAGATGCTTCTTGTGAGAAATATAGCAAGAGCATAGAAGGTAAAAAGTAGAATCTGCCCCGCCTTCCCCTTATTTTCAGCAGTAGGAGTAACTACTGCTAACACATTTGACAGATGTCCTTTCATACCTCATTCCGAAGTATACCCAATCATATACACAAATATGTGCATTTATTGTTTGTTCCCACAAAGACAGATGAAGGGGATTAAGAGTACACTCGCTTTGAAGAGCCCCGAGTAATATATGGAGGTGTCAGATACTATATTGTACACCTGAACCTAATGCCACACTGTATATTAACTATACCGGAATTAAAATTTTTTAAAATGGAATTACATTATATGTATCTACTTTTGCATGTACCCATTTGCCATGGGCATTCTTTAATTTTGGGAAATATCGAGCTCCCTTGTTCCTTAAATGGCCACGTACTGTTCTGCTGCATTACTGTGCTTTAGCATATTTAATTGCTCCTCGACAGGTGGAAATTGAGGTTGCTTCTATTTTTATCATTATTATACAGTGCATATCCTTGAATATATATTTTTAAGGTCTCGATGTCTCCAGAGGATACTGTCCTTCATCATTGCTTGTAACAGCAGATCAGAAGCAACTTACAAGGTGAAACCCTACAACGTTAGTCCATAGGAGCGAATACTATTCAATCATTAAACACGATGCCGCGCAAGCAAATGTAACCACGTAGGGAAAATGCTCTTGTGATGCCGTTAAAGGAAAAAGCAAACCTTAGCACGAAAGAAACCCAATTTTGTTCACATTATACGTAGGACAAAAGATTGGAAAGTACCAGCAAGCGCGCATTACAAATTATCTTCAGGGTGAGATCCTGAGTCATTCTATTTTTACATTTTTTCGTGTTTTTCTATGTTCATCAAATGTTTTGCATTCAGATATTGGTACCTGCCAAGGGGGATGTGATTTTTCCAAAGCCTACAGGCCAGAAGCGGCCTTTGGGTAAAGCTACACGTTGCAAGGAGGCAGGAGACCTAGAGAAGCAAGGCTCCCCCCTCCCCAGACAGCAGGGCTCTGCGGCCCCCAGCACCCAGCCTGCAGAGGCCTCTCACTCTGCACGGCCCGGGGCCTGAAGCTCTGTGTGCACCTTTGTCCCCGCAGGTATGTTCTCGATGACCAGTACGTCAGCTCAGTAGGAACAAAGTTCCCGGTCAAGTGGTCAGCCCCAGAGGTGTTCCACTACTTCAAATACAGCAGCAAGTCAGACGTTTGGGCATTCGGTAAGAACTTGGCCACACGGGCCCCAGCCCCGTTTCGTAAGCTCGCTTCCCCAACAGGAAACCGCAAGAGCAGCAAACATCCATTCTTAGCAGAAGCCCCGAGCGCTGACGAAACGCCCCAGGGGCCTGAGCTAGAGATGGAAGAGGGTGCTGACCTGTGCTGGGCCGCGTCGGGCTGTCACTGTCACCGTAGGAAACCTGCATCCTGCTAGCGTCTTTGTATCGAACCGTAGGAGATACAAGCTCTTCCACTGGAGATTTCTATCTTTTTCTTTTTTTAAGATTTTATTTATTGATTCATGAGAGACACACACACAGAGAGAGAGAGAGGCAGAGACACAGGCAGAGGGAGAAGCAGGCTCCACGCAGGGAGCCCGATGCGGGACTCGACGCCAGGACCCCAGGACCTGAGCCAAAGGCAGACGCTCAACTGCTGAGCTTCCCCCTCTAACAGTCTTTGGAGAGGAGCCCTTAAAAACTAGAACCGAGTTTGCGTGAAACCCAAAATGTTGAAGGGCTTGAGATGTAGTCTTGGACGTCCTGCGTGAAAGCAGCTGTGACCACCATCCCCTTTGGCATCGACCAACCCTTTGGGCATGCCTGGTGCAAGCCCCAAACACGGCTCGGTGCTGTGTGCAGCATCCTCATTAAAATCCATCACTAGATCAAGGGTCAGCAAACCTTGGCCCAGGACCAAACCCGGTGGCCTGTTTCTGTAAATAAAGTTGTCCTGGAGCAAGCCTTGCCCACTCGTTCCTGTATTGTGTCTTATTTCCTACTGTAACCGCAGAGTGGGGTAGTTGCCAGAGATGCTGTACCACCTACAGAGTTTAAAAATACCTGCTATGTGACCCTTCACAGAAAAGGTTTGCTGACCCCTATTTTATTAAAGAGCCATACTGAAATTGAGTAAAGGTAATTAGAGAACAGAAATGATTCTTAAGTTGTGATTTGGTAGATTTTCTGATCTTTCTACGCTACGAGAAACATCAGGCCTGCTTACGATCACTGTCAGAGGGATCCAGGGTAAATTATCCAAATTATCATAAAGTTACGGATATATGAACTGCAACTGACACCTATTACATGTCTATCTTGGTCCATAAGCATAACTTGACTTTTTGACTTTTCATATGACATCCAAAAGACTGCATGAGTAAAAGAAAATTTAGTTAGCCATTTATTTTTTTATACGACACACATTTTTAAAATACTACTTTTGTCAAAGTAGTACCGTTCACTTAAAAAAATAATTCAATGTACACAGAAGAAAGAAAAGCCACGAAGATAGCATTGTGGTGAATACTTGACATCCTTTTGGGCTGATTAACTTGTCAAAATTAGTTTCACTCTCCGTGTGTTGATACGCCTTATGAAAGATGCTTTTAAAACTCAGTATCCTTACTCAAGAGTTACAGTTTGTTTTTGACCAAAAAGTGGCATCACCCGGCCTGATTACTCCCCGGACGCACTAGAAGTTGGCTCCGGGTATTTTCTGGCTATTTGCAAACACTAAATCCATTCGGAAGTAATTTGTTTCCAATGAGGACATTCAAAATGGACCAGGGCCTCAACAATTCTCAAAGGAGAGGAGGCCCCACGGATATTTGAAACAATTTTGGGATAAGTGGATGACCTTCAAAGACAGAACTGTGAAGGGAGCAGTATACTCTCGGATGGCTGTTTTAGAAGGTTGTTTGAAAAAAAAAAAATACAGGGCAGCCAGGATGGCCCAGCGGTTTAGCACCGGCTTCAGCCCAGGGCCTGATCCTGGAGTCGTGGGATCGAGTCCCACGTCGGGCTCCCTGTGTGGAGCCTGCTTCTCCTTCTGCCTCTCTCTCTCTCTGTGTGTGTGTGTCTCATGAATAAATAATAAAATCTTAAAAAAAAAACAGCCACAGCAACTTGTAATATTGCCTTATTGTAAATACTTTACATAAAATCTGTGGCCCTGAAAGTCAAAGAAATTTTGAAGTTAGTCCTTCAGGTACGGTTCTAGAATAATTTTCTTCCTTCTTACTTATTTCTGGCTGCCCAAAGTTTCGAAGCTGGCCGACTGTTGAAATCCTGCGGCTAGGCCAGGACGACAGCACCTTGGCCACCACTCAGGGAGCACGCGTAGTGGCCGGTGCTTTCTCCTAGCCGTGCTCGCGGCAACCCTGGGACGTGCAGCCCCCCTCCCCGGGGTGGAGACGGGAGCGTGCTCGGAGGGTGGCTTAGGCGCTGCCCGGCCTGTAAGCGGCAGAACCGAGCTCAAGGCCACAGCCGCCGCGGCCAGGACCCCGTATCTAGACCTGGAGTCCGCGGTGGCCTCCGAGGGGCTTCGGGATACCGTGAACATCCAGAGAGCGAGCACAGACGTGCCGTGCATTCACGTTCCCGAGAGAGAGCCAGTGGTGGTGATCAGAGTCTCAAAAGGACACCTGACCCACAACATACCAGGGACCATCGAGGCAAAAGGAGGAATTTTGTCAGTGATCTCACCTGTAAATCCGCTCGGGCGGCCGATTTGACGGGGCGGTGAGACGTGGCACAGCCGCCAAGGCAGAGAGAAAGGAGGGGCTGGGCTGGGGTTGTCTGTCCGGGGGTGTGGGGGGACGAGGCCCCAGCCGCCTCTCGGAAGCACCCCGGAATCTTGGCCCCAAGTAGCCCCCCTGCAGCTGCCTTCGCCGATGGCCCGCTGGCCAGCAAGAGGAGGACCGTGGAGAAGAGACAGTGGGCTCCGGAGGCGAGGGCACAGGGCCACCGTCCACGCCCGGGCCTCTGGCTAGGACTGGTTCCCCGGGCTCCCTCGCCCCGGCCCGGAGCCTCCCCGAGCCGCCGTGGGAGGCCCCGCTCCACAAAGCCTGCACCTGCTGACACGGCCTTTCCCTTTGTCCGCCGGCCGCCCTCCGTGTGCTGTAGGGATCCTGATGTGGGAAGTGTTCAGCCTGGGGAAGCAGCCCTACGACCTGTACGACAACTCGCAGGTGGTTGTGAAGGTCTCCCAGGGCCACCGGCTCTACCGGCCCCAACTGGCGTCGGACACCGTCTACCAGATCATGTACGGCTGCTGGCACGAGGCAAGTGCACCCCGGGGGGCTGGCGGCGGGTGCGCCCAGGGCGGTTGCCCAGGACCCGTGGGCCGGGCCGCTTTGACTGAAGCGCCTGCCCCGGGCGGGCCCGGCGGGCCTCAAGCGTTCGGGATTGAAACCCAGCAGCGCGGCAGCGCAGGTGCAGGTGCAGGGGCTACCAGCGTAACAAGCCACTTAACGTCCAGCACTGTTTGAAGAACTTCATAAATATATATTTTTTAAAGATTTTATTTATTTATTCATGAGAGAGAGAGAGGCAGAGACACAGGCGGAGGGAGAAGCAGGCTCCACGCAGGTAACCTGACGTGGGACTCGATCCCGGGACTCCAGGATCACGCCCCGGGCCCAAGGCAGGTGCTAAACCACTGAGCCACCCAGGGATCCCCAAGAACTTCATAAATATTAACCCATTTGTTCATCAGGCAACATACTAGGAAGTATGTGCTATCGCGACCGGAACTAAGAGGAGAGAGGCAGCCCGGGGGGCTCAGCAGTTTAGCGGCACCTTCAGCCCAGGGCGTGATCCTGGAGACCCAGGATCGAGTCCCACATCAGGCTCCCTGCATGGAGCCTGCTTCTCTCTCTGCCTCTCTCTGTGTGTGTCTCATGAATAAATAAATAAAATCTTAAAAAAAAAAAAACTAAGAGAAGAGGAAACAGACCCAGCGAGGTTAAGTGACTTGCCCAGGGTCACACAGCTGGGCTAGCGTCAGAGTCCCTGTTCTTAACCACAACACCGTGGGGTCTCTCCTGAGATAGAATACGTGTCGTGGAGAACCTATGAGCACGCGTGGGCAATGCATAATGGACACCAGTCCCTCCTCTCTTCCCATGCTCCCCGATGGTGACGAAACCATTCCGTGCACTTGGGGAATAAGAGGGTGTGTGGCAGTAGTCATGGAGCTCACGTGGCAGGGGACTGACTCACAAACCATCTACGATGTCCGTAGAACTAAGGGGGGTGGATGGTAAGGAAATACGAAGCTCCATCTCTGTCCTCAGGGAAGTCAGTCTTTACACACACCTGTGCACGCGTGTGGGCACACCTGCACACACACACGCCCCACTGTGAGATTGGAAACACCCAGCAGTTTCTAATTATACGTGCAGCATAGAAATGTAGGCAAGTGCAGAAAGAGGTCAGAGGAGAGCACTGTTATCTGAGCCAGGTCAGGGAACCTCAGCAGTGTCCACAGTCAGGTGAGTGGAGACGTGGTCAAGGGTGTCCAGGGGAGACCGGCACAACCAAGGTGAGGAGGCCAGAAGGAGCAGGGTGTGCTCGGCTGTAGCTACCGTTGGAAGGGCTGGGAATTAGTCGGAGGAAGAGGTCTGGTCCGGATGCTGCAGACTGAACCCCAGGGAGAGGAGTGTGAGTTTTGCTTTTTTACAGGCAATGGGGAGCCATGGAAGACTTTAGAGAGTAACTTGATAATAGGGGACTTTTAAGAACATTAATTGAAAAGCCCAAAGTTTGTAGCCATTATATGCTACTGCCTCGTCGACAGAGGGCCTGATGTCGTATTCCTGTATTCATTCCTCCACCAGTAGAAGGCAGATGGGTGTCATGGCTAAGCACGTGCACTGTGGAGCCAGAATGCCGGGGACCAATACTAGCTGTGTGACCTTGTATAAGCCTCCTACCATCTCTGTGCTTTACCAAAAAGTAGCCCTCTGCTCATAGGATTTAAAAAAAACATTTTATTTATTTATTAATGAGAGGCACAGAGAGAGAAGCAGAGACACAGGCAGAGGGAGAAGCAGGCACCATGCAGGGAGCCCCATGCGGGATTTGATCCCAGGACCCTCAGGGTCACACCCTGAGCTGAAGGCAGCCGCTCAGCTGAGCCACCCAGGCGCCCCCCCCATCATAGGATTATTGTGTGGGTTGCATGAGTTAATATTGTCAAGGCCTCAGAGCAGTGCCTGAACCACAGTAAGTGCACCTCGTGTCTGTGGTTGTAGGTTCACAGGGCCCCTGTGCACCAGGCGCTCGGCGGGGTGCTAGGAAGAACTTGCCGCACACGACGTAGAGCTTCTGTCTTGTGTTGGAGCCTCGAGTCCCCCACTGGCCGAGTTGCTGGCTGTATCACACAATAATACTTGATCCTTTCGCCTGACACCATCCCCTGGGATGGGGGCGCTTCATGATTTCCCACCCTATGGCACCTCGCTTGCTAAATGAGGCCCCCCACCCCTCGCACCCCTATGTAGCGCCTATGGTGCTGAGGGCCGCGGGCAGCGCTGGGCAGTCCGGTGGGGCCAGAGCAGAGTTAGAGACCTGCCGCTGCCCCCAAGCAGGCTGACTTCGTGCTGTCACGCGTCCGATGGAGAAGAGGAGCAGACAGGGATTTGGAGTCGAAGGCCGGAACCTGCCTGGCCTTTCCCACTCCAGCTCCTGGGACTAAGGCCAGGAGCAGATGGATGGGGCGGCCCCCAAACGGGAGCAAACTGCCTTCTTCCCACAGTCGGTCTGTTGAGATGGCTTTGCACAGAGACAATCCCGGGTCGAAGGTTCTGCACGTATCATTTTGTACATTTTGGTCTCCCACTTTTAAAATATCCTCTTTCACAATTTTTAGAAGCACATTCACAATTTCCGTTAGATTCCAATTTATCTTTCCCACAGTTCTCTGCACAAAAGTGAGTGTGTACATACGTGTGTGCTTCCCTTTCTTTCTTATAAGAAGAGGAGCATACAGGTTCCCTCTACGGGGTCGGTGCCCCTCCACCAGCGTGGGTATTTTCCCACCAGCTCGCTGACACAGACCATTGTCAAGCTTCTGGATTTCTGCCAATCTGAGAGAGGAGAGATGGCCTTTTAGTGCAGCTTGTATATGTACATCTTTCATCACAAGTGAGGTATATTTTTAAGGGCACTTGGGATATCTTAGAATTAGACAGCGTTTCTTTTCCCTTTGTTCTATCAGGCTTTTGATTTCCCTCACCTCGATTTTAAAGACCCCTTTATAAATTAAAGAGATGAGCACTTTATCTGTGAGAGTTGTCAATATTTTCTCCCAGTTTGTCATTTATCTTTTGGTTTCATTTATGGTTGTTTTTGCCTTGCAAAGGATTTTTTTTAAATATTTTTTAAAATTTTTATTTATTTATGATAGTCACAGAGAGAGAGAGAGAGAGAAGCAGGCTCCATGCACCGGGAGCCCGATGTGGGATTCGATCCCGGGTCTCCAGGATCGCGCCCTGGGCCTAAGGCAGGCGCCAAACCGCTGCGCCACCCAGGGATCCCTGCCTTGCAAAGGATTTAAAAAAATAGAGTTGACTGTATTAACATTGGCTTTTATTGCTTCTGGAAACCGAGTTAAAGTTGGATAGGCTTCCCCAGCCCCTGATTAGAGTAGCATTCACTCAGATTTTCCTCTAGTATTTTTATGGCTTCACTCTTTCACATTTAGGTCTCCGATCTAGTGTGCTTGTTGCAGTATATGGTGTGAAGCATGGATCCAAGGATGTCATTTTCTAAATGACTACGTGCTTGCTGCAGCACCATTTATTAAAAGACCATGTCATCACGAGGGATGAGATACCATCTAACAGTGCCGAAATAGCTAACAGAGGAGATTTCCATACACATTTGGGGTTATTTGGGGACTTTCTCTTCTGTTCTCTGATCTCTATTCATGTTCTAGCACTGCATTGTTCTAATTATAGAGGATTTCCAATACGTGTTAATCCTAGGTAGGCTAGTACTCCCTCATTACTCACCTTTTTTATACTTTTCCTAGCTATTTTTACAGACATTTTTAAAAATTGAGTTTAATTTTTTAAGTTTTAGTCCCAATGTAGTTCACCTACAGTATTACATTCATTCCAGGTGCTATTTCTGCATACTTTAAAAAAATCTATGAACTAGAGGGTCAATTTGTTCAGCTTGAAACTAACTTGTTCATCTTTTGGAGGAGATTGTGTTTAGTTTATATTTTAACTAGGGAAATTTGACATCTTTGTGATATTGATTTGTCCTCTTCAGGAACAAGTAACGTTTTTCTATGTGTGTAAGTCTACATTTGTCCTTTTCATCAGTGTTGACAGTTGTCCTCATTTTGGGGGCTGTGTTTCTGTTTTTATTTTATTTTGGTGTCGTTGCTACTCCAAATGGGGTTTCCTCTTCCATCGCGTCTTCTGACTGGTTCTTGTACATGTACCTGAAGAATATTGATTTTGTATGTTAATTTTGCAGACTGCTCTCCGGGTGAATTCCTTATCATTTGGGTTGGTTCTATCATTCATTCTCCTGGTTTTTCCAGGCATACAACCATATCTTATGCAAATAAAGAGACTTACTGTTTCTTTTCCACCTCTTAGGGCTCTAGTTGTTTTGTCTTTAGTGGAAATGTCCATAGTGTGTCCATGCTTAAAAAGTCACTAGCTTTAGGACTGAGGTACACATATCTTCAATATTTTATTTTTAATCATAATTTTCATAAACTAAGCCTTTGGGTTTTTCTTTTATTTAGCTTCCAGAAAAGCGTCCCACATTTCAGCAACTCCTGTCTTCCATTGAACCACTTCGGGAAAAAGACAAGCCTTGAAGAAGAAATGAGGAGATCTGATGAGAAGGACCGTCAATGCTGGCCAACATTTTCATTCCTTTTAAGGAAAGTAGCAAGGCGCAAACCATGTAATTTAGCTAATCGCATTCTGTATACTGTTTGCCTCTTGTATTATCTCAAAATGAACAAGGTAAGAAACAAAAGATTTCCTTGACATTTAAGTCAAATTAGTAGTTTTGTGTATGCTGCTCTTTATATTATTATACTTCCCAGCCTACAGCAGAAGCACATTTTCTGATTGTGGTAGACAGAGTGTGTACCATGTGTAAAGATTGAACAGAATTGAAAAATTCTTTGTTGGATATTTGTTCTTTTCCTTATATCATCACTATCACGATAATTAAATACGTTGTTAACAAGTACCAAAATGTGGACATTTGTCTTCATGTTTTATTGCTGTCAAACTTTAGCATGTATGCAAATCAAAAGGAGGGTTCATTAAAACAGATTCCTGGGGCACCTGGGTGGCTCAGTTGGTTAAGCATCTGCCTTTGGCTCAGGTCATGATCCTGGGGTCCTGAGATGGAGAGACCCGCATCTGGGGCTCTCCCTGCTCAGCAGGGAGCCTGCTTCTCCATCTCCCTCTGCCCCTCTTCCCCTACTTGTGTTCTCACGCTTTGCTCTCTCTCTTCCTCTCTCTCTCTCTCTCTCTCTCTCTCTCTCTCAAATAAACAATTAAATCCTTTAAAAAACCCACACAGATTCCTCAGGAACTACTCCAGAGATTCTGGTAGAGGAGGTCTGAGTGCAGCCTGAGAACATGTATTTTTAACAAGCTTCCAAATGTTTCTGTGCTGTCTGTCCGGTGTGCCCTAGGGGCCTCCTTATATGGGGGGGCATCAGTAGGTGGTGCATAATTTAATGCAAATGACTCTACTCTCATCTGACTTCCAGATTAGAACAATGACTCTTTGTGTCATGTATATATGCCATGCAAATACAAAACTAAAATTAAGGAATATTCAAGAATATAGCAAATACATTTCCACAAAGAACAGATTGTAAAAGATGCTAAGGTAAACTTGATGCCTTTTTTTAGCCTAATCCTTATCAATTTGGATACCGTGTAACCACAGTCTTCATTCTAGAATTGATTGTTGCCTTCTAATCATTTTCAACCCTTGAGTTTGGGTTCCAGGGTTTCTGGCTAGTTTGGTGACTGGCATTTCTATTTCAGTCTTGTATCTTGACACAGAGGTACAAAAGTACTATTTCAGTGTCTTGTGGTGATTACTAAAAGGTACTTTTGCTTTAAACCATTCCTGGGACTCCCCTCCTTCACAGCTTGCTGCTGAGCCCATAGGTTTTCCATCTCTTTTGAAGCACCTTGCTGTCTTTTCTGCAACGTCAAGGAGGGAAAGAGAAAGGCTCTGTGGAGGCACAATCACACTGAAAAGACACCCTAAGTGCTGCTCCTCATCTCTGGATGGAAGTTAACCATCTCCCTTAAGAGATCCTCATATTAAAAAAAAAAGAGAGAGATCCTCATATTGTCTCATTCCACTGACTCCATCACCTCCCAACTGTTTCTGATGATCTCTCTTGGTTGTTTCTTCACATGTAAATGCGGATTCCTGTGTTTCCAGAATTGACTTTTGATAGTAGTTTCCTGTTGGTTTTTTTTTTTTACAGAGGTGCACAAATATCAATTTATAATGAAATGGAACTTTGTTTTTTTAATGATTTTATTTATTATTTGACAGAGAGAGAGAGAGGGAGCACAAGCAGGGGGAGCAGCAGAGGGAGAGGGAGAAGCAGGCTCCCTGATGAGCAGGGAGCCCAATGTGGGGACTTGATCCCAGGACCCGGAGGTCATGACCTGAGCCAAAGGCAGATGCTTAACTCACTGAGCTGCCCAGGCACCCGGTAGTATGGTCTAGATAAAAAATGTTGGGGGGAAGCGCCTGGGTGGCTCAGTCAGTTGAGCATCTTTTTTAAAAAAAGATTCATTTATTTATTTGAGGGGGGGTGTGAGTGAAAGGGTAGAGGGGCAGAAGGAGAGAGAGAGAATCTCAAGCAGACTCCCTGCTGAGCAGGGAGCCTGACATGGGACTCAAGCCCAAGAGTCTGAAATCATGACCTGAGCCTAAGACAGATGCTTAACCAACTGAGCCACCCAGGCACCCGAAATGGAACTTTAAGAACAACCACTAGGGCATGTATACATTCAGCGAGCATTTCTTTAGTGAGTACTGTGTGACGGCTTCTTTCCTACCCAAGGGAAAAGAAGGAACAAGTAACTCAATCCCTCCTCCTCAACGGGCCCTTGTGAAGTCTGTTTTCCTTTCTTCTATTTATTTTTATGTATTTGTTTTTATTTATTTTTAAAGATTTTATTTATTAATGAGAGACACAGAGAGGCAGAGACATAGGCAGAGGGAGAAGCAGGCCCCTCACAGGGAGCCCCATGTGGGACTCAATCCCCAGACCCAGGATCATGCCCTGAGCCGAAGGCAGACACCCACCTGCTGAGCCACCCAGGCATTCCTATGTATTCGGGATTTTTTTAAGATTTTATTTATTTATTCATGAGAAACGCAGAGAGAGAGAGAGGCAGAGACACAGGCAGAGGGAGAAGCAGGCTCCATGCAGGGAGCCTGACATGGGACTTGATCCTGGGTCTCCAGGATCACACCCTGGGCCAAAGGCAGGTGCTAAACCGCTGAGCCACCCAGGCTGCCCTGTATTTGGTTTTTAAAAAACAATTCTCTTTATAACAAAATATATGCTTATTGCAAGAATTCAAACAGTACAGAATCCTCTACTGTGAAAAGAGCCAAAGCCTTGCTTATAAGCCTAGCTTTCAAAACCAAGTCAAGCAAGATTTTTAAGATATTAGTAGAGGTTTATAAGAAAGTCAGCCCAGTGATGCTAAGAGGAGCCGAGTAAAGGAATACTCATACCACATAAAACATGCATAATTTTGAAAATGCTATTTAATCGTGTTTCATGATGATATCTAACATTTGCTGCTACTGTTTTAAGCCAGGGGACTGCTTACGTGCTCTTGGAAATGAAGAAAAGGTCATCCTCCCTTGACTTGGCTAACTGATCCACCATGACCATTATCTCCATAGAATCTATTTTATTTTTTTAAAGATTTTATGTATTTATTCATGAGAGAAACAGAGAGAGAGGCAGAAACATAGGCAGGGGGAGAAGCAGGCTCCATGCAGGGAGCCCGATGTGGGACTCGATCCTGGGACTCCAGGTTCATGCTCTGAGACGTTCAACCACTGAGCCACCCAGGCGTCCCTATTTTATTTTTTTTAATTTATTTATTTTAGAGAGAGGGTGAGAGAGTGAGCAGCAGGGAGAAGAGAAGCAGAGAGAGAGATGGAGAGAGAATCTCAAGCAGACTCCCCAAAGCTGGGCTCAAAGCTGGGCTCCATCCCACGACCCTGAGATCGTGACCTGAGCCAAAATCAAGAGTCAGACCCTTAACTCACTGAGCCACCCAGGTGCCCCTCTCCATAGACTGTATTAAGTACAAAGTTACTCTAACATTATGCTGGTCACCACAGAGAGTGAGTTGATGAGTAGAGTTTGGATATTTTCATCTACTTTGAATCAGTCTTCGGTGTGTAGTGGATGCTGTGCTCAGAACTGGGCTGGATTCTGAGATGTACAAAAGGAGTGTTAGGCTTGGTCCCTAACCTGATGGCGTAAACAATCTTAACACACCTCTTTTTAGATTGGTCTTACAGCTGCATTGTACAATAAAGCAATTTAAGAAATTGGGACACATTCCAAGACGTTTGAGAAGTTAAGGGTCTCAGGCAGGCAGATGGAAGGGAAAAGCAGATAGAAGCCCCAGCACATAAGTACACTTGAGACCGCAGGAGTGTGAATCTAGTAAGTATTTATTGAGTGCCTGCTTGGTGCTCAGCACTACTCAGACATCGAGGGTGAATACAAGAGCTAAGAGGTTGGGTACCCACTTCAGAGGATGACCTTCAGTTGAGATTTCTAGTCACTCCAGAGAGAACAATAGAAGTGAGTTTCTATTGAAACAATAGAAGTGAGGTGTGCTCTGGCGCAGAGGTGGGGGGCAGGGGAGGGGTAGGGAGGTGGAGGGGTTGGGGGGGTGGTTCCTGGAGGCCCCTGAGGCTAGTTTTACGTTGTCAGGAAGATGATGATCAAGCAGTTTGGAAGTGAAAAGGCAACATCTGTGAACAGCTCTCTGGATTCTTCTCTCTCCGTTACACCTGTCATCCTGAAGAAAGCATGATCCAGTCCGATCACTGGATCTGTGGGCAGACCGCTATAGTACTTAGATGAACTTAATGTGAAAAGAGTGTGCCATCCTTTACACTTAAAGTGAACAGCATGTGCCACTCTCGCTCCTGCAACCCTGCCAGCAACTCATGGACACTGTCCTTGAAAGAGATCCATCCGGATTCCATACAAGGCCCCACTTGCTCCCACCATATAGCCCCTCTTTTCTATTTTGACTCTGGCCATGCAACAAACATTTCCACTTCCATTACGACCCCCCCACCCACCCCGCCTGAGTAGCTGGCAAGGCCAAAGACACATTTTCTCTATTACTCTCAAATAGGAGCAGAGGTGGAATCTCAAGGCAGAAATAAATACTGAAAGCCAGTGAAGATGCCCTTTCCCCAGGCATGTCTTCTTGGGAGAACTATTCCTGAACAGAGCCATGGTTTTGATATTTAATGACATCTTTATAATCTCATATACGTAAATGTTAATTTTATGGTACAGACGACAATAAAAATCACCTCAAGAGGGAATAAAACAGATTTTCCTAAAATGAAGTCTGAGCATCATCCACATTTTGGAATCCTGGATTATTTTCTCCTTTACTCAAGTCCACGGAGGCATAAGGATTTTCTTCACCTCTTGCTTGATCATTCCTGTTAAATAGAGTAAAGTAGCCTTAGTAGAAGTACCGCTGGATGGACACTGCCTCCCTCGGACCCCACTGGCCCAGGCGTCTCAGACACCTTAGCATCTAATCCCTCCTCAATGAATCAGCCCCCTCCCAATGGACTGTGGTCCCCTAGAGAACATGCCCCATGAGTGGTTGGCACGATGCCTGGCAGGGCATGGGAGACCACAGAAACCTCTGTGCTCCGGGGTCATAGAGAGGGTGCCTCTGTACCTTAGTTTGCCTATTTGGCAAATGATGCCCCTTCACCGAGTCACCGAGCTAGTGCTAGCAGAGTGCTCATAGTACCTGGCACGCAGGCCTCAACGAGTATCAACCACAATTATTATTTTTAGGAGTGAAGTGGTCAGTTAGCCAGTTCCCTCATTCTTTTTTTAAGATTCTATTTATTTATTCATGAGAGACAGAAAGAGGGAGAGAGAGGCAGAGACACAGGC